AATAATAAATTAATAGATGTAAAAACTCCTTTTTCCCTGAAAATATATAAGGTTAGTCTGCTTCCATTTTATTTTATATTCCAAAGCTCTTAAGGAAATATTGTTTTGGGATACATTGTTGTTTTGAAAAATATACTCTAGTTGATGTCTTGGCCTGTATATTTAGAAAATAATACAAGATTTACAGGTTTTATTACTAGTTCTTGCCCCTTGAAAGCCCCCTTGATGTGGAGTTTCTATACTTTTTCAATGTGTGGTATCACCAATGCAAAACCCATACCTACATTTTTCTCGTATCTGTATATTTATTATGATTATCTGAAACCCTACAAAAAGTCACTCACCAAATTCCAAGAATTTTAAAAGTATGTGACTGATAAAATTAGTCCACAGTGATTTTTTAAAATTGATGAATAATGACACACCCTATTTAGAGATACCTATTAAATCAAAAGCAGAAAACCTAAATCTAGTTATCTTTTGTTTTAAAAGCAAAATAGTTTAAGGGGCGCCTGGGTGGCCTGGTCGGTTAAGCAGCCGACTTCGGCTCAGGTCATGATCTCACGGTCCATGAGTTCGAGCCCCGCATCGGGCTCTGTGCTGACAGCTCAGAGCCTGGAGCCTGTTTCAGATTCTGTGTCTCCCTCTCTCTCTGCCCCTCCCCTGTTCATGCTCTGTCTCTCTCTGTCTCAAAAATAAATAAACGTTAAAAAAAATTTTTTTTAAAAGCAAAATAGTTTTATTTCCTTTCCTTTCCTTAGTGTCTCTCAGGATCTCTAACTTAAATGTATTTTTTATTATTAAAAGGATAGTCAGGTAATGTGGAAAATTCCTGTTTGAGTATAAATGCTTTATTAATTGTGACTTATGGGACAATAATCATTTCTATTATTTGTTAATATTGAAATATATATTTTACTTCATTATTTAACTAAATTCTACCATTTTAAAGAGTAAATAGGGGCACCTGGGTGACTCACCCGGTTAAGCATCTGACTCTTGGTTTTGGCTCAGGTCATAATCTCATGGTTCATGGGTTCGAGCCCCACACTGGGTTTTGCACTGGCAGTGAGGATCCTGCTTGGGATTCCCTCTCTCTCTCCCTGTCTGCCCCTCCCTCACTCATTCACGCTTTCTCTCTCAATAAATAAATAAACTTTAAAAAAAAGTGAATCTTGCTTAGCTTAAAAAAAAGGGTACATATTTTTTAAGGGTCATAAAACCATGGCTCAGGTTATTATGTGACATAAATACCACAAGGCTGTTAATTTCTACCTTATGTTTGCCTTCTGTCCTCTCTTTCAAAAAACAAAGTGTAGAGACTTTTGTACTCAATATATTTGAAGACAGATTTCATGATGTATTTTTATCCCATGTCAATCAATACATCATCGAAAATCATTAGAAAGGAAAACTGTTATTCCGCTTAGTAATAAATGAGTTGCAAAATTTATTTCATTCAATAGTTAACTGACTGTGCAAAATGGCAAGCATATAGTGGCGAACAGTACAGACATGGTATCTGCCCTCCCAAAACTGACAATGTAGTAGAAGAAAAGACCAGCATTAAAATTAGTCATTGCAAGACTAGTAAAAGATGCTGCAGGGATATACAACTGGTAGACCTAAACAGGTGAGGTACTATGGTGAATAAATTTCTACCAAAGATCATTTTTAAAATGAGTACTGAAGAACAAGTATGAGTTGGCTATAGTGCGGGAGAGAACATTTCCTGGCAGAAGAGGTGGCGTTTGCAAAGACCCTTCTTTGAGAATGAGAATATTTCATTAGATGATCTAAAACAATTACAGTAATACAGGACTGGGCAGAGTGAAATCAAGAGTAAAGAATACAGGGGCACCTGGGTAGCTCAGTCAGTTAAGCGTCCAACTCTCGATTTTGGCTCCGGTCATGATCTCACCATTTGTGAGATCAAGCCTTGTGTCCGGCTCTTTGCTAACAGGCAGGACCAGCTTGGGATTCTGTCTCTCCCTCTTTCTCTGCCCCTCCCCAATGTGCATGTGCACAGGCTTTCTCTCTCCCTCAAAATAAATAAACATTTTTTAAAAAGAGTAAAGAATACAAAATTAGAGGAATAGACAAGGGCTGGACCTTCTAGAACCTAGACTGTGTTAAAACATTTGATCATCATCCCAAGAATAGTGGAAAGCTATTAAAATTATCTGAATTGCATTTGCATGGGTCATTTTGGCACAGTATGCAGGATGGATTGAAAGGAACTAAATGTGGGTTCAGAGAGACTAGTTTGGAGGAAACTGCAGTAATCTCAGTCACACTTGGTGGGCACTTGACTTTGTAGTGACATGGGGATGCAAAAGTGCACTGAATTCAGTGATAGCAGATAGAGTTGACGGTATTTGGTGCTAAATTGGATGTAGAGGTCTAGGGAGAGAGAAGAATCCAAGATTGTTTCTAGGTTCTGGCTAGATCATGGGATATTTTATAAGATGCAGGGAATCAAAGGTGCAGTCCTGGGTGGGGTGGTGGAGGGGGAAAGGCACTATGAAAAGATATTTTTAGTCCAGTTTTAGAACTCAAAATCTTGTAAATGATTTTGAAATATTAATGAGATATGCAGTGCGGATGTCATTTGAACACTTGGTTGTGTAGAGTTCAGAAGAAAGGCCTAAACTGGAGAGAAACAGTTGAGATGGTGTGTACATAAATGGCCCTTGAAGCTCTGTGGGTTGATGAACTCTACTAGCATGAATAAAGGAGAGGGGAGAAATGGCCGAGATACCGTCTCCTTTTCAAAAGGAAATTGCAACATTTCAAAGGATACAGAGAAATTGTTGCCCTTGAGGCCTAAGGAAACCAGGGGATTAGGACCTCATGAAAGAGAAGGGAAGAAAACATGAAAAAGGTAAGAATCTTCCTTGCTGAACACTGCTGAGAGAGCAAATCAAATAAGAACTCAAAATTGCCCTTTTGTTTTTAGTGGCAAAACATGCAGTCTGCCATCTTTAGAAAGAAAAGCTAGTCAGCTAAGAATGGTATGGATGCATGAGGGGGAAAAAAGATAAACTGCTTTTTCAAGAAGTTTGGCTGTGAAATCCAGAAAAGTTAAAGCTGTAAGTAGGTAAAAAAGATTTGGGATTACAAGAAAGTCTGCCCTCCCCCAAGACAAGAGAGGCTCAAGCAAGTTTATGTTGATAAGAAGCCCCCCCTAGTGTGGGAGATAATGAAGGTAAGAGAAAAGATGAGAGATTTCTGAAGTATTCTGGAAAGGAAGAAGATGTCCAGAGTATGAGTGGAGGGAATTGAAAACATTCCCTGTTGAAACAGGAAGGAAGAAAGGATAAGTCCAAAAAACTACAGAGTTTATCAACTCAGGGGTGGAAAGTAGAGATATGGCAGTCTATCTTTTCTCTCAGTGAAGTCAGAGATAAGGACATCAGCTTCAGGTGGGGAGGGAAGGAAGAGGGTTGGAGGTCAGAGGGGATTGGAGAATGTTTGAATCGGAGAATGAATGAAATGAAATTGTCTTTGCAGAGGGTAGGAGATGGAGCTAAGTGGAGAAATGCAGGACTGTGTAGAGGACCGTTGAGGTTCAGAATCATGCATTTAGAATGGTGCCGATCTGCCAAAGGGAGTTATTTTCTCTAGTAGAACCTTGCAGGCCAGCAGACACAGAAGGTCTTCTGGCTGTATATACTAATAGCGAATCATCTTCAATTTTATCTTATTTTTTGTTTATTTTTAGCAATTAAGGAAAAATAGGTTTCTTCGAGATGGTGTTTCTTAGTGTTCTCTAGGTTGTAGTGCCCTCACGTGGCTGATCGACATCGTTCACTTAGGACTGTTTGCATGTGGATGCATTTGAACAAGCTGAGAATTAAGCATGCGCCTTATATCACTGTTAGTAAAAGCAAAAAATGAATTCTTGCTTTGACTAAAGGCAGTTGTAGATGCAAAGAAACTTCCATTATAGATTAATGCAACATTGACTACTCACTGGCGCATTTTACTGCACTTAAAATCATGTTACTATTTTGTTATGTGTCAGTAATGTGAAAATGTATAATAAAAATTACAAGTAATTAGGGTTACGAGCAGCATTTATTCGATCTCAGGGATTTTTATCACTGTGTTTAAGTTTACATCAATAAAGGCTGTTGTTTTGCATAATTACAACTGAATCTTTCTTGTGCTTTTTATTATATATGAAAGTCATTTTAATTGATTACTGAATATTTTCACATAGTTTTTGTTGTTGTTTTTCAGTGTAAAGGAAAGTGAAAGGCATTGGCTATGTCTACAAAGGCCAAGTGGGTACAGTGACACAAACCAGATGTTATAAGTAGTGTTCTCTATGATTCAGGAAGTTAGGAAAGTAATTTATTGAGCACATTAAGTGTAGGAGCTTTTGCATATTTTAACTAATCCTCATAGCAATCCTGTGAAATGGTTATTTTTTCTCACTTCTATAGAGAATTGAACCAACTATTAGGTTCAATAAGTCATTTGGCCACAATTACAAACCCAAGAAATGCCATCACTAATACCAGCCACCTTTTCTTACTGTTCAGAATTTTATGAGCACTTATACCCTCCACTCAGAAAGGATCTTATTAAAGGCATTCTGCCAACATGATCCTTTTAATGGAATTATAATGCATTTAATTCATCACTTAAATTCTTTTGTTGAATTTTTTTCAGGATTTACAGACATGCTGAACTTGCAGTTCAGTTGTTGAGTCTGTCATTTAAAAAAAACTTAAATTGATAAATTATTTACTGGTGAACCCAAATCTTTATTCTCAATTATTAAAAACACCTAAATGGCCTCAAAATAGTTGATGACTTGGCCTGACATGGCCTAAATATGTGGTTGTTGAATTACAGAAATGGAAAAGATGAACTGAAGAATAAAATAATAAGAGCATAAAAGTTCTAAACTTCATGGTGTAAAAGGCAAGGCGGGGCATAAGAGTGAGATTTCCCATTGATCTTTGTCTTCCTTGACAATACTCTTCTACTTTATTCAATGTGCTCATTATGTGCACCATTCTTACCAACTGTGTATTTATGACCATGAGTAACCCTCCAGACTGGACAAAGAATGTGGAGTAAGTAGAAAATAAAAAATATTTTTCAGTATTGTCAACCCTTGTATTTTAAATTACTATCTTGAGACCCCATCGTTTTCTTTAGCAAATCATACTAGCTACTCCTAACCAGACAAGTTTAAACAATGATTCAAAGTTCATTTCAACCACGGCTTTCCCATAGGGCAAAGCTTGCAGTGGCTCATTCATTAGCTCAAATTACTGCACTTGTTCAACTGCCGATATTTGCAGCCCTTTATCTTCCTTGTGAGTCTCATACCCTTCTGAATGTCATCAGTGACTACTAATATCCAATGGTAAAAATTATGCCTAGTTTGTATGTTCTTTTTGTCATGGCTATCACTTTTCTATGTTTTATCAGTATATATGTCATGGCTCTAAATGATGCATATTTTACGGAATGCAGTGCTTCATTAATTTGGGGGTTAATACCTATTTGCTTAAATCAGACTCAAAGCTAGAGTATTTCAGGTACCGTCCTATAGAACCATATTATTTGGGGAAGAAAAGAAGCATATTATTTGGGCCCTCAAATTAGTTCATGTAGCAAATACAATACTTATTTACTTATAGTCAATGAGAATGTCTCTCAGAATGTAATGTTTCTTTTGCCTTAAACTCTACTTAAGCTTCTAACATCATTGGGAGACTAGTATAGACCCATCTGAAAGCTTCTAATTTTTTTTTGTTAAGTTTCCTTTAAAACATGTACATGTAAATTACATACTAGATCTTTAATGTGGGCTTGGCTATTTCCTCTCAGGTACACCTTTACAGGAATTTATACTTTTGAATCACTTATAAAAATACTTGCAAGGGGCTTTTGTTTAGAAGATTTCACATTTCTGCGGGATCCATGGAATTGGTTGGATTTCACAGTCATTACTTTTGCGTAAGTATCTTAATACATTTTCCATCCTGGAATAATAAATCACTGATGGGAGCCCATGCTGTATTTCTCCTTGGTGGCTTCCATTGACAGATCAAGCATTTTTCTTAGTTATCATGGGAATTTAGAATATTTTTCTTCTAATCAATTATGCACTTTGGAGAAATTAGGAATCTAGTAGTAAATTATCTAACTTTTGATTCAGTTTGCACTGTAGAGTAATAAAATTTCCGAAGTAACATAGACTATGATTGAAGACAACACCCTTTTTCTCTTAATTGGGAAATCTGATGCCAACACTCATTGAAGTTGAAAAGGTCTTGATGAAAGACCAACATAGACTTAGATTTCCCTAAATTCTGAATAACTCTGATTTAATTCTACAGGTATGTAACAGAATTTGTAAACCTAGGCAATGTTTCAGCTCTTCGAACTTTCAGAGTCTTGAGAGCTTTGAAAACTATTTCTGTAATTCCAGGTAAGAAGAAACTGGTATAAGGTGGTAGGCCCCTTATATCTCCAACTGTTTCTTGTGTTTTGTTATTGTGTTGTGTGTGAACTCCCTATTACAGATATGTGACAGAGTTTGTGGACCTGGGCAATGTCTCAGCGTTGAGAACATTCAGAGTTCTCCGAGCACTGAAAACAATTTCAGTCATTCCAGGTGAGAGCTAGGTTAAACACCGAGGCTGACTTTAGCTGCATTGGCACTACAATCACAGCTTTTGTGCATAGCCTTTTGTTGTCGGATGTTGCAAATCAATATGTAAAAACGCAAGAATCAGGACATCATATTTTGGATGGATTTGATTCTTTGCTTTTTTACTTCTTGCTTTCTTTAAGACCGTTCTAAATCAGCCTTTGAGTTTAACAAGTTTTTGCATGAGGCATTTGCAGTAACAGGCTACATGGTTTGCATCCCGTAACGTCAAGCTTTCCGCATAGAAGCTAAACTATGAGGCATTCAGACTCATGCAAATTTGACCATTTAGGTCCAAAACTGGTGATTATCTTATCTTATCTGCAGATAAATGAAAGAGTGAGAGATAGCATGAGTGCTGCATGGGGCTCAGTTTTCAGATGTCTTCCTTTTTTAACCCATATTCCAGCTTGCAGAATTCACAAATATGTAACCTCATAATCCATTGACTTCATGATTTCTTACTACTCTATTCATATAGATTTTTCTAAAATCAATAAGAGGTTAGGGAGTAAGACATCTGCAAATAAAAGCAAAATATTTACACAAGGTTGGTGTTTAAGCATGAATAATAAAATCATTTCTTTTGCTCTGAGGGGTATTTGGAAATACACTTTTGGTTCATTTCCATTCACGGTTTTCTAATGGACATACAAGTTCTGCTTTCATTCATTTTCACCAGCTAGCAGGCTTTTCATGAAAATCTTATTCAATCACAAACATTAAACTAATGTTGTTGGCATTCTGCATGACATTTTTATTTTCCAGGACAAGCTCATGATGTTTTTGTCGGTAAAGTAGCTATTGAATAGCATATTTAAATTCCTCCCTTTGATTTTATTCATAGGCCTGAAGACCATTGTAGGGGCCCTGATCCAGTCAGTGAAGAAGCTCTCTGATGTAATGATTCTGACCGTGTTCTGTCTGAGCGTGTTTGCACTAATAGGACTACAGCTGTTTATGGGCAACCTGCGGAATAAATGTTTGCAATGGCCCCCAGATAATTCATCCTTTGAAATAAACATCACTTCCTTCTTTAATAACTCATTGGATGGGAATGGTACCACTTTCAATAGGACAGTGAGCATGTTTAACTGGGATGAATACATTGAGGATAAAAGTAAGATATACTTTTAACCATTAAGTTGTTTAGTCCTTTAAATATTAAAAAATACATATAGTAGAAATTGTCTCCATTTTAATGTAAACCAAATGGCTTAACCAATTTAGATAACACATGCAATACAGAAATCAAATGATATTTATGATATGATATGATAATGATATTTTACTGCTTTTTTCCCCTTACCTATCTTACCAATCAGTATGATCAAAGTTACCACTCGAAAACGTATCTTTTCCTAAACCAGTGTGGAAAGCAATACAATTTTATGTTGCATAAACAAAAAAATATTGGCTAGGCATTAATCAGGAGTTTTCAGTCACGTAGTAAATAAACCAGTAGTTTGAACTATTCAGTGTATTGTGCTTAAGTGCATTGTTAAGAAGACTGGGGAAAAATAATCTGGCCCTATTCAGTTGACTCATTATATGTATTGCGTGCATATGATATGCCTGAAAATAGAGAAGTCACTCACCGAGATGAAAATCTAAATTTTTGTACTCATCAGAAATTTAAGCAACCCCAATCCAGCCATTCACTTATTGATAATAGGAAAGCATAAACTCACACCCAACTTCTGTTATTCCAATTTATCCTTTTGGTGTCAGTCATTGTTTCAGAGTTGTTTATCAGTATAGTTTGATTATATTTAGGGATGGACATCAGAATAAACATACAATATCATATACTTCAATATAATTTCTTATCATTGAAGCCAGCCTCTTTGTCATTTGGATGTCCAAGTCCCTCCCTCTCCATATACAATTAGCTAGCCAATTTCCATTGGTCCTTAGATTATCACTATTCCACTGGGATACTTGTTCTAAGGTATCCTTCATGGTTTTTAGAACCATGTGAAATTTTGTCCTTTCCCAAATTATATTCATCTTTTAAGAGTAGATATTCTTATGAAGATTTCTATCACAGAAATTAAGATTCATTGGATAAATAAAAAAATTTAAATATTATTTATGGGGTTTCCTATTTATTAATATTATAATAACAGCACAATAACAATATTTGCACATAAATCTTTTCTCTTTTCCTGATTATTTCCTTCAGATAAACTTCTATTAATAGAATATTGGGAAAGGGGGAGGGCAGGGAAAGGCAGTGTCAAAGGGTATAACCAGATTAAGGCTATGGAGACAGAGTGTCAAATTGCTCTCAGAAGAGATCATACCACTGTAAACTCCTTACACAGTGGTCACCTTACTGAACTCCCCTTAATATTGACTGTGACTGTATTTTAAAACCCTTTGGTAGCAAGAAACATGTATCTTCTTGTTCTCTAATTTTAATTGCAGTAGAAATTTTAAACTATGTTTATTAGTATCATTAGCAAGTTATATATTTCATAAAATGTGAATAACCTGTTGATTTTTTTACTCAGTTCGTCAAGTGATAGTGTATTTTGGAGAATTCACATGAATTCTTTCATTTATCAAGCACATTAGCATTTTGTCTTCTTTGGCAAATATAGCTTCTTTTTCATCTTATTACTTGTTTTTGATATTTAAGTGATTTTCACTTCTAGCAATATAGTCATCAAATTTGTTTTCAGTTTTCTCTACTTAAGTTTAGAAAATGCTTCTTAGTTCAGAGATCGTAAAACTATTCATTTAGATATTCTGCATGTAAAGCAGCCCCCCATATATTCTACATAAAAAAACACTTACAAAGCTTATATATTAAATTAATGGACTTGTTTTTAAATCTTCAATCTTTAAAAATCTGGAAATATTTTTTGGTACATATTGTGAGGTGAAGTCTAAAACGTTTTACAAAACTATGACCCAGGTTTCCCTGCATAATATGTTAGGGTATTCCTTCAACATAGGCTTTAAGTAGTCCTAAATACAATAAATTTTTTGTGGGGTACATGTATGTGTTTTAATGTTTCTGTGTTGGTGTGCTTTTGTATGAGAATATGTAAATATGTATGTTTATGTATGTGCATGTTTTATAAGATCATCTTTGCAAATTATTGAGGTTATATATAGGTATTCCCTAAGAATAGAAATTAGATAGGAGCACCTGGGTGGCTCAGTCGGCTGAGGGTCCCACTTTGGCTCAGGTCATGATCTTGCAGTTCATGAGTTCGAGCCCTGCATGGGGCTTGCTCAAGCTTTCAGGGCATAACCCGCTTCAGATGTTCTGTCCCCACCCCCCCCAACCTTGTCCCTTCCCTGCTTGCACTCTCTCTCTCAAAAATAAATAAACATTTTAATTTTTTTAAAAAAAGAATAGAAATTAGATATACTTAGAAAATTATATATCTTCAAAGAAACAAGTTTATTCTGTTCCTTTGAAAGACAGTAATCATGCCAAAATCCAAAACACAATACTTATATAGAGCATCATAGAAAGAAAAAACACCTAAGCCACTTTTCACAGGAAATTAACTTAAAACTGGTAGGAAAAAAAAAAATGTCTGAATCTATTTCGAGTCCAGGAAAAAAACTACTTATAAAGTAAAATTTTCCTTGCATGGAAGCACTTCAGAACAACAAGGCATCCCTTTCTCTCACTTTTTGTGCCAAACAGCCTTAATTTGGCAACTTTTTTTTTTTTAACCATCCCAAGCAATTTGAGTTTATATTTGCAATAAATACTGATATGAGAATATTATGATAGTTATTCATTCCCCCAGCCCCAAATTATTTTTAAACATTTTCTAAACATTTATTTAATTGAAGACTTTGTATTTTGGTATTTGTTTAGTATTCAGTTATTATTGAAATATTTTCATTCAGCCCATATACACATTTATTATTTTATCTATTTCATTATGGTTGAAAAAATTGTAAGGCTTATTACCTAAACACAATGGCTGAAGTGTTTTGAGGGCTTTTTTAATGATTCTTTCAATTCCTCCCTCTTTAAATAGGTCACTTTTATTTTTTGGAAGGGCAAAATGACGCTCTGCTTTGTGGCAACAGCTCGGATGCAGGGTAAGTGATGTTTCATATTGAGTTTCAGTCCACACTGCTCCATCAGTCTCAATAACTCGCCACCTCCCACCCACCCAGCCCTCGCTCACTCCTCATTCAGGGCCCTCCATAAATTCTACTTCACGCTGATTCTCAAAATAGCTGAAATAAGTGTGGATTCTCACCTCCTTCACACACTCATATGCGGCAATTATTTTTCCATACTAGGTCACAGCTAATCTTCCAAATTAGTTAAATGGAAAATTGAAAAAGCAGTACATATGTATTAGAAGATTAAGTTAATGGAATTCATAAGCATGTACTTTTGTAAGTGTGATATTTTTTATATGCTAATGTAGTCTCCATGGCTTCAGATGTAAGATCTCTGAAGATAATGACAGTATCTGAGTCATGGTGAGTGTATGTCGAGCATCTTTTAGCAAAGTGGTTAAGAGCATAGACTGGGAAGTTTGCATGGATTCAAGCCTGACTCCACCAAATAACATATACCCTCTCTGTGCCTTAGTTTCTCCATGTAATAAATGGTTACTATAATAGAATTGCTATGAGAATTAAATGGATTAGCGAATAAATAGTTATTATAGCACTCAATATGTGCTTTTGATTATTATGATTGATGTGTGAATATTTGTTATTAAGAAGTATTGCACTTGGGGTCGGGTGGCTCAGTCCGCTGAGCCTGGACTGACCTCGCCCTCCAGGATCCCACGCTTTGTGGGTTGGAGCCCCTCATGGGGCTGTGTGCTGACAGGCTCAGAGCCTGGAGCCTGCTTTCAGATTCTGTGTCTCTCTCTCTGCCCCTCCCCCACTCTGTCTCTCTATTTCCCCCAAATAAAAAACATTTAAAAAAATTCAAAAAAAAAAAAGAAGTATTGCCCTTGGAGCTAAAGCCGAGGAAGATTCAGAGAAATAATTACCTTCCCCTATTTCCCAAGAATTTAGAATCACAAAAGAATTCTAATGTTTTTTCAATGGAAGATGATATTGTGGCTATTAATAATTAATACCTGTAGCAAAATTTCCAATGGCTTTACATTTGGCTCATATGATAAATATTGTGCTGCCTTTATCTCCAAATCCCAGTGATAAGTAAAACAAACTAATTTTAATTCCTTGTCTGTAATACTAAGTCCTTTACATATGATATCTTATTCAATGCTTATATATTTACAAGGCAATTTCTGGGGCGCCTGGGTGGCTCAGTCAGTTAAGCGTCCGACTTCGGCTCAGGTCATGATCTCACGGTCCATGAGTTCGAGCCCCGCGTCGGGCTCTGTGCTGACAGCTCAGAGCCTGGAGCCTGTTTCAGATTCTGTGTCTCGCTCTCTCTCTCTGACCCTCCCCCGTTCATGCTCTGTCTCTCTCTGTCTCAAAAGTAAATAAACGTTTAAAAAAATTATTTACAAGGCAATTTCGATTATTAGCCCTTTCTTATAAATGAGGTGCCTGACGATTAGCAAAGTTAGGAAATTTACCCGAGATCATGTAGCCCAGAAGCGTCAGGCACAATATTGAGGCCAGGTTTGGTTTAATCATTAAGGACATAACTATGAAATCTTCAATATGCAGAGTCATTCCCTCCTCTCCATGTGCCCTCATCCATCCTTCCATCACCCCTTTTCCCTACTCACACACACACATACACACACACACACACACACACACACAGACTCACTCTGCCTCTAGATATCTTCAGTGAAAATCAATTTTTCCCTGTAGGCTTATTTTTCTGATCATGTCTGTAAGCCCCAGAAGATATTAATCATGATGTGATTGCTTTTATATGGAGACATGGTAAATATAATGACAATTAGGAATCACAGAGTAATCCACAAAGAGTCTTAATATATTCTGTTATTATGTAAATCAGCCCACATAGTAGTGGGTTAAGTGTGGGTAAGTTGAGAGAAATCCGTTTTGCCTAGTGTCATATAAAATAGATACTGGCGTCTATAAAAACAGGGAAGTCAGCCTGCAGACTTTCAGTCCTGACTTTCTTTTAATCTAATTACAGCCAATGCCCAGAAGGATACATCTGTGTGAAGGCTGGTAGAAACCCCAACTATGGCTATACAAGCTTTGACACCTTTAGTTGGGCTTTCTTGTCCTTATTTCGTCTCATGACTCAAGACTTCTGGGAGAACCTTTACCAACTGGTGAGAACAGATAAAATGATTCTTCTGGGAGGCATGAAATACTGAGATCAAGAGAATTGCTATAAAAGCTGTAACATCTATGTAAAATTTCATAAATATCTCTTACATTTTTGCAGACACTACGTGCTGCTGGGAAAACATACATGATATTTTTTGTGCTGGTCATTTTCTTGGGCTCATTCTACCTGATAAATTTAATCCTGGCTGTGGTGGCCATGGCCTACGAGGAACAGAATCAGGCCACCTTGGAAGAGGCAGAACAGAAAGAGGCTGAATTTCAACAGATGCTCGAACAGTTAAAAAAGCAACAAGAGGAAGCTCAGGTATAGTTAGCAAGCATAGAGCTCTTTTGTGCTTGTTGATCTCAATCCTCTGACCACACCGGTGAGGACAGTGGCATTTAGTACACAAAATCAGTAGTGGATAAAAGTGACATTTGAAACATGTCATATGTGTTTGGTGTTAAAAGCCTGTTAGGTTTTTAGGAGATTATTATTTTATGTTGATGATTACTGTCAATCTGATGGCATCAACACATGGAGAATTTATAATTGCTTTGTTGACTTTTTTTTTCTCCCTTGTGACTCCTCATTTGCTCAAGCTCACAAAGTACTTAAACCTACATGCTGTCAATCAAAGCATTTCCTTAATGTTTCTGGGGAAGAGGAATTTGTTCTAGTTACTTCTTCATTAGTGTCACTAGAGGTGGGAAAGGTCAGAAAACCAGAGTCAAGCTGAGAAGATTATTTCCTAGCATCTGAAAAAACAAAGACCTATTTAATATTTGTTTTTTATTTGAAGGGTGCTTAATGCAAGTTTATGGATTGCATAAGAAAAATGCTGGTGTATAAATACAGTAAATCACTACATGCTTTGCCTCCTATCCTGTAAAAATAATTTAATTTGGACTTGATAAGACTTCAGAATAAGGCAAGAATAGCTCCAAATTATATTTCCTTGACTTAATGGCATTAGCTAATCCAATTGCCTATTTTTGGATTTTCTTGGATCTTAATTATAGTTACGTTTTAATACTGAGTCTCCTAAATATTTAATAAAGGTCAGATAGATAAAATATACTGGGGTAACAGCAGCAACATAGAATACCATATCTTTCCAAAAACTGTGCTGTTATAATTTAGAAATTCATTCAGAGGCCATGATCTGGGATTCCCTTACATATGATCTGTAACGTGTTTTTGTTGTACATTTCTTAGTGAAATACTCAAGTGAGAGAGGGGGGAGATTTTTTTTAAATAAAAATATTTGGTTGAACTAAATTCACTAATTTAGAAGGGTGCCAAAAGTGACTGTCAAGTGGAAGCGTGATGGATCAGGTTGAAATAGGAAACCTTTAATTCTTGAATTCTTTCCTTCTTAAACTAGTGGTTAAGTCATAGAAAACTGTGTTATGATAGTTGAACGTCTTGCTCATATTATTGAATAATTAGAGAGCATATGGAGAGGCCAGAGCTTGAAAGTTTCCATCAAAGTCACATGTATCATCTTCCACGTGTCTATTGACTTTAATTCTTTAATTGGTCTACTGACAATGCATTGTTTTCCAACATATGGACCAGAATGGAGAATTGTTTTTCAAGATCGTATTCATGATACTAAAAGTAAATTAAGCAGTAAACATGGATAGAGTTTCGCAAGGTTTGTATGCAACTACCATTTACCACATGCCCTTCCAGGCAGCAGCTGCGGCAGCATCTGCTGAATCAAGAGAGTTCAGTGGTGCCGGCGGGATAGGCGTTTTCTCAGAGAGTTCTTCAGTAGCATCAAAGTTGAGCTCCAAGAGTGAAAAAGAGCTGAAAAACAGAAGGAAGAAAAAGAAGCAGAAAGAACAGTCTGGAGAAGAAGACAAAGAAGACGGAGTCCGCAAATCGGAATCCGAAGACAGCATAAGAAGAAAAGGTTTCCGTTTTTCCTTAGAAGGAAGCAGGCTGACATATGAAAAGAGGTTTTCTTCTCCACACCAGGTAAAGATATTATTAGCTTACGCAAATTGCGTTTTCGTAGCAAGCCATGTTTTAAAGATACGCCAGCATTTGGTAGAAATAAAACCGTCTTACCCCTGGATGGCACAGTGCTTTCAGAATTGTAATGATCATCAAGTGTTTTGATTATCACCTCAGAGACTTTGTGAGTTTTGTGACTTTTGGAATCCCAAGAAAGCAGTTTTAGAGCGTAGATCCCCACTGAGCTTGGGAAGGTTTGTGGTTTTGAGGTTTTGTTGAAGACTCAAACATCTCGGGGCAAGTTTCCACATGAGAAATTCTCAGCAGATGGTTCCCATCCGTTTTTAGCTATGCTGCTGTGCCTGGACCCAGTGACTATGGGCTTTCTGAGTGGCAGGTTCCTAGAAGTGAACTGTGTATTCTTTCAGACCATCTGTGTGGTTGTTCCCATTCACATACAAACCTCATTGGAAGAATCATTCTTCAGACCCTCATTTCAAGGGGAACTGAAGCAAAATTTTTCTACAAGTGTAGCCAAAATTGTTAGGTGGAAATGCACTGAGGAATATTTATGACACTAAATAAATAGTGGTGTTGAGTGGCACTTGATTATCTGTCTCATGTTTAATGTGGGATTCGCCCTGAAAGAATACCTTGATTCTACAGTGCAGTAAATGTTCACTGGATGCCTGTGGCTTATGTACTAACACAAGCTGTGGAAACTTTGAAATTTAGGATCCTTAAATTTTGAAATTACCAAGAGAATTACCAGGAATACGGGTTCTCAGAAGACAATTTCACCAGTGGTGAAACCTTAGTATCTGTACAGTAACAAAGACAATTAGAACAACACTGATAGATAGGGGCGCCTGGGTGGCTTAGTCGGTCGAGCACCGGACTTCGGCTCAGGTCATGATCTCACGTCTCGTGGGTTCAAGCCCCACATCAGGCTCTGTGCTGACAGCTCAGAGCCTGGAGCCTGCTTCGGGTTCTATGTTTCCCTCTATCTCTCTGCCCCTCCTCAGCTCTCTCTCTCAAAAATAAATAAACATTAAATTTTTTTTTAAAAAGAACAACAATGATAGACAAAGTGCATTGCAGCTTTCGATATAAATTTGTTTAAATCTGTCACTGCAGCCCTGAGCAGGTACCATAATCATCACCCCAAACTACAGATGTGAAAAGAAAGAGAAGGCTGTATCCTTTGCCAAGTGCTTGTTTTAGTCTTGGCATTCTTTTTACATTATCATAATTAATACCAACAGCTCTGCGTCATATTACTTTCACTATTTATCAGGCCCTGTGAAATTAATAACTGCCCAATGTCATATAGTTATTAAGGGTTCAGGTGGTATTCAAATTTGATATGACACTGAGCCACCTGAACTTTCCACTTTATCACCCCAACCTGAAAGAGTATTTAAGAAAACTGATAAGGCAACTTACCATTTGATTTCACTAAAAAATTAATATATAGGATTTTAGTTGTTCTTCATACATTTTGTAGTATAGAGTCTCACAAAAACTTATATTTAATAGGTGTAAAATTTTTATAGGTTAACTTGATTCATTCCAAGTCCAAATAACATTATGACATGGGATAGATTAAAGGATTAGTGGGGTTTAGTTCATATTTAAAATAGAATTTGGTTTTAATATCTGCATTTTATACTCATTCTCGTTCATGTTGTCATAATCATTATGATTTAATTAGTGGAGACATTAATCTTAATAAATGTGAATTCCTTAAAAATCAGATTCCCTTTTTACAGCATCTTCATTTTGGAAAGAAAGGAAAGGAAGAAGGTAGAAAGGGAGGAAGGGAGAGAGGAAGGAAGAGAGAAAGGAAGGAAGGGAGAGAAGGAGGAAGAGAGAAAGGAAGGAAGGGAGAGAAGGAGGAAAGGAGGGAGAGAGGGAAGGGGTTTCAAAATAAAATAAATTTTACTAGAGGTAAAATTGCCCAAATTTGAAAGAGCAAATCACCAGGTGCCACAGAGAGTCTCTTTAATTTGCTTTATTTCAAATCCAGTAGAACTAATTCTAGGTGAAATCATGAAGCCTGAAAAGGTTAAGTTTTGACCTGCTTATTTCTATAAATTTTGCTCATGGATTTCCCCAGTACTGTCTTCTTTGTAACTATTTCCTAGCTAGCTGGGCATGATAAGTGATCACTGACTTATACAACATGCACCATCTGGCTCACACTGATACTTGTTTCTTAAATGGTATCCGTATTTTTAAAAAGTGAAAGACTTTAAGACTTTCCTTTTATCTGATAAGTAGTCAAACAAATAGCTAAGAGGATGGAGAGGCAGAGAGAAAGAGGAAGAGGGAGAGAAAGAGAAAGGGAGGAAGAGGGGAGAGAGACAGGGAGAATCCTGAATTTATACTAATCCCACTCTCCAAATCCCTGGAAGTAATACTGAAAATATCAAGCGAGGTAGAAGTTCTTAACCTGGGTACAGTGATGAAAGGTCCATTTTTAGATTTTTTGAAAGCCCAAGACCCCAAAGTATTAAAACTATTGTTTTGTGGTAACATGATGGAAAGGCAATTGTGTTGGTAACCATTTATACTTTCATATTAATATATATATTATATACATATATAGTATATATAATGTAGGCTTTTATTGCAAGATTATAATTTTTCAGTATAGTAGGTGGATTGTATGAAATATTTCTTAGGCTTCAGTTTGATTTTTTAGTATGGGAGAGGGGAGAGAAAGAAATCAAGAGAACAGTCTCTAATCAAGTCTCAAGACAATCTGGACATTTTATTTTGAAACCTTTACAAGATATAGTCGGCCTTCTTAAGTTTTGCTTTTTAGAGATTCATTTGTTATGGCAGAGTTTTCTTATTGGCCATCCTTTATTTACAGTGCAGCATTTGATTGTTATGGATTCATATAATTAATGCAAGCAGTAAAAGTTGATGCTAGCGGATGGGGCACAATCGTTTTTCATACAGCCATCTCATGTAAACTGTGCTCTTGTATGGCATAATTCACCTTTGAACTTGGAGAAACTTTGTGTGCAATTTTATAACATATCTCCCTCCAATCCTTCTATTGGCTCTGAATGGAGTACTTATAGCTAAAATATAAACTCTTAGTAAGAGTGATACATATAATTTCTACCTTATTTCTTATTGCCAAGCATTTCTTATCTTTTGAGCTGACAATAACCAGTATGTCACAGATCCTGTAATTCTTATGTTTTTATAGCTAAATCAAAATACCTTGTGAAAAGAGCAAAAGGAGATGAAAGAAATTGGGTAGTCTAAGAGAAATTTTAAAAATAATTACTTGTATGGAAAACAATAAAGGAAAGAAAGAATTTTACTAATGAAGTTGGAACTAAGATGAAAAAATTTGGGAACAGGAAAAGTAGAAATGACTTCTGTTGGAGGAGCAGATCAGTCTCTTTAAATGTGCTTCTTTGTGAGGGCACCTGGGTGTCTTAGTCAGTTGAGCATCTGACTTCGGCTCAGGTCGTGATCTCATGGTTTGTGAGTTTGAGCCCCGCATTGGTCTGTGTGCTCACAGCTCGGGGCCTGGAGCATGCTTTGGATTCTGTGTCTCCCCCCTCTCTCTGTCCTTCCCTAGCTTGTGTGTGGGCTCTCTCTCTCTCCCTCTCAAAAGTAAAGAAACATTAAAAAATAAGTAAATGTGCTTCTTTGTGTAAATGAATAGAATCCCATAACATAAGAGAGTGTTTAAAGTTTATAAATGTTTTGTAGATGTTTACTGACGTTACTGAGAAACATTATTCTTTAGCTAAAAAGAAAATCAAAAGCAGACTTGTTGGTCAGGGAATATGAACTGTATATAGGTACAAAATAATTTTAGTTAGCTTTAAATCCTTTGGAGAGAAAAAGATCAAACTAATAATATTGAAATGATGAAATCAGTATTCTTTCTATTAATAATCATAGAACTCTAACTCAAGTCAGCCTAAATAAAAAGAGACCTGATTAAATCAGATAGATAATATCTGTGAGTAGCTTTGGGCATAGCTGGATTCGAGGGCTCAAAACACGTTATGGCCAAGCATTTCTCCATATTTCAGCCCGGGTTTCTCCAACACAGTGGCAAGATTCCCACTGCAAGTTCAAACTTCTAGTCAATATTCTTAGCACCCCCAATTGAAAATGCACCTCTTTTCCCAACAATTGTAAAAGAAAGAAGTGGCTGTCAATGGACCAAGCAGGGTCCCCTGCCCATCTTTACACGATTCTCTATGGAATACCCTCATTGGCTAGGCCTGGGTCATGGTCTTGCCTCAACATTATTGTCAAGGATAATCAGGATACTGTTGACAGAAGAAGGAGAAGTGGATATCCGATGAGCAAAAAGTGTTTACCACAGTAAAGTTATAAACGTAGACTAGTAATAAACAGGAAGTGATTAACTGTGTTCAAGGCTGCTATGCTTAAGAATCAAGGTAAACTGCATGGTGGCAGTGACAATGTAGCCATTTAGAAACCTGGGTAATGACTGTGACCAAATACTTAGTGAAAACCAGGTTTTTGTGAATATGGTACTCTTCAGATTTCTTGAGAGACAGAAGAGTGAAAATCAGGGAATGAATCATAAAGTTCTCAGCTTGATTTGTTTAATTTATTCATGAAGACTTTATAAAATATGCAAAGGGAAGGGGGAAAGCTGCTTCTTGTACTATAATTAAACAGACTTACCAGCAAGCTTGATTTTATTTTCCTCTGTGGTAAGGTCTGCATCAGGGTGTGGTCGCTAGTGAGCTCTTGGTGTATTTTTGGCTTCAAAGGATCTAAATGTAGGTGTATATGCAATTGCTTTCCATTGGCTTGTTAAGTGAGGCTGGCTTCTAGAATAGGGTCTAGCAAAAAAAATCTGTTCTAGTGCCAAAAATCTGTTCTAGGACAAAACAATGTTGAGGGGTATTTGTGACTGTCTTAAGGCATGTGTAAAATAGAAGAAAATGGCGGAAAATTAAAAAAATGAAGGAAGGGAGAAAAAGGGAAAGCAAATCAAAAAGAGGTGGGCCTAGCAGAGAGTGCCAGAACACCACGAGCAGTGAGCACAGGGTCCCATGGTTCCACTCATCCAATGACTTGGCCTTAAGCAAGTCAACAAATCTGAAACAACAAGTTAAGTCTCACGTATTTCTGAATGACCGCTCTTAACTCCTTTCATCTGTGTTTCGTTTGCTTTCTTGTTATTCCTAGTCTTTATTGAGCATCCGTGGCTCCCTTTTCTCTCCGAGACGCAACAGTAGGGCGAGCCTTTTCAGTTTCAGAGGTCGAGCGAAGGATATTGGCTCTGAGAATGACTTTGCCGATGATGAGCACAGCACCTTTGAAGACAATGACAGCCGGAGAGACTCTCTGTTTGTGCCACACCGACACGGAGAGCGGCGTCACAGCAACGTCAGCCAGGCCAGCCGCGCCTCCCGGGTACTCCCCATTCTGCCGGTGAACGGGAAGATGCACAGCGCCGTGGATTGCAACGGAGTGGTGTCCCTGGTGGGGGGGCCTTCTGCTCTCACGTCTCCAGCTGGACAACTCCTTCCAGAGGTGAGGCCAGTGAAAACTGCAGCCACTGGGAAGGGACCTGTGTGGTGTAGGCGGGAGGATGGTTTATTTCCACACGCAAGAATTTTGTAAGGTCAGTCGTTAGGGTTGGTTCAGTCCAGCTGTGAACTTCTTTTGTCAAATTGTTCTATTTAGAGTTTTCTACAAATTATACAGGTTGGGTCTCATAAAATCTAAATAGAAGTATTCATCATAAAACGGGAAGAAGAAAAAGATATACTCAGAGGCCCAGGCGTGTGAAACTTGCCAAAAAGCACAGCAATAACTTATCAAACATAATGTTTAATTAATATAATAGAACATTAATATGATAGAATGAGATGCAAGAGATTATATACTCAGCTTAAGGATCTTGTTACTACTGTTCCATCAAAAGGAGAATTTGATACTTCACTTGAAGTAGATACTATCATTAAAGACATCTAAATCCCGCCCTGCAACATTCTTTTTCTTTGCAGGTCAGAGTACTGTAACATGTTTAGCACCCACTCAAACGACCCCAGCCATTGTACCTTTGTGTGGCAAAGAAGTCACTCAAAGTACCTGGTAGGGTCATGTATTGTCATTTTTAGAACAGATTTCGATTTTCTATATTACTATCATGATTTCTTTATGTAAACAAAGAGACTGTAAGTCAAGAATATAAAAAAGAGTTTTGACTGAAGTATATATTAGGATAAGGGTATAATAAGGATATATTATTGACATTTTCATTTGTAAAACGTAAGGTGCTTTTAAGCTTTAGTATTAAGTAAGAATTTAGTCGCTGACATAAAAGTATTCAAGCCATGTCATTTGGTTGTATTTTATAGTTTGCCAAATCATATTAAAATCTTCTTTGTATGCCTTTTTTAATACAATCGCATTTATTATAGTTGGACAAGCTCTTTAAGCCACAATAAAATCATACAGAGTCAGCTTTTAGTCACCTAGTAGAGGAACTTCTTAACTTGGGTTACAGAAATAGCCATTGATCACTTTTTTTCCCATGGCCTCTGCCCCCACTTTCTCCCAAAGAAATGTCCAAGCTTCCTGGATTCAGATAAAATCGTGAAAAAGTAGAACTCTGCAGTGAAGGAACCAGGAAGAATGGAGAAAGAATATCAACGTCTCTTAAAAAATAAGCGTAGCTGTGTACCAGACACTGTCCAGAGCACTTTACATGTATTAGTTCATTAAGTCCTCACCACAACCCTTTATCATAGTTACTAATATTATCCCCATTTTACAGAGGAGGAAACTGAGGCCTGTGCATGGTGGAACTAAGATTTGACCCCAGGTATGCTGGCTACTAAACCTACATTCTATCCATTCTTCAGTATTGCCTTCCTTTGATTTTTTTTTTAACTTTCTTAAATGGACAATAAGAAATTGCTAAGGAGGTAAACATTTTCATTTTAATCCAGTGTTGCTCAAAATATACTACTTCACACTCAGACTACCTGCATCAGAATTCCCTGGAATGCTTCTTAAAAATGGAGATACCTCATTTCCCTCTCCCCCAACCCCTGGCAACCACCATTCTGCTCTGCTTCTGTGAGTTTGATGGTCAAAGGGTACAAAATTTTCATTAACCAAGATAAATAAGTTCTGGATATTTGTGGAGCATTGTGCCTATAAGCTAATGATACTGTATTGTATACTTAAAATTTTGCGAAGCTGATAGATCTTGTGTTAAGTGTTCTCACAAATAATAACAGCAACAACAACAATAATAAAGGGTGTGGGAGGAGACTTTGGAAGATGTTGAAGTTGTTTGTGGGCTTGATAGTGATGATAATTCATGAGTGTATACTCATTGAATTGCATACATTAAATATATATGGCTTTTTACATGTCAGTCATTCCTCAATAAAGTGATTTAAGGGAAAAAAAAAAATGGAGATTCCTGGGCCGATTGAGACTTACTCAGACTAAAAGACTGAAGAGAACCAAGTCAGGGAAAGTCCTTCCTTGACAAGCATCCCACATGATTCTTACACATAGTAAAGTATGAGCATCACTGATCTTGATAAATGTTAATTGAACAAACAAAAACAAATCCACAACTTTTTTGCATAAATACAAAGAGAATCTCAGAAAATAGCATTTTCAGTAATTACTATAAGACTCCTGCCCTATCAGAGAGGGTAGGATAAATCTCTGAAGGCAATTTGGAACCCATTTGAAGCAGAGCTTAGCGAGATCCTTTTATTTCCCCCTCTGTCCTGTCCATTCTTCAATCCTGTGGTCAGGTGCTGAGAAGCACCCTGTGGTGCAGCTGGAGCTGAAGGTGTAGATGAAGGAGTAGGTTTTCAGAGACTGCAGAGGGGGAAATGAGAATAGAAAATAAACAGCTGAAAGCGCCTGGGTGGCCAGTCGGTTGAGCATCTGACTTCAGCTCAGGTTGTGATCTTGGGGTCTGTGGGTTCGAGCCCCACATGGGGGTCTGTGCTGACAGCTCAGAACCTGGATCCTGCTTCGGATTCTGTGTCTCCCTCTCTCTCTGCCCCTCCCCTGCTCACACTCTTTCCTCTCTCTCTCACTCAAAAATAAATAAACATTTAAAAATTAAAAAGAAAAAGAAAAGAAACAGCTGAAGGCAAATGACCCCCTCCAAAGCACACAGTATCCTCTATACATAAATTCAATGGAAGCAATTTAACTTAAGAATTTCCTCAGTAATATCATTAGAGGTTCAGAAATCTATCATTAAAGATTAGACAGATCTAGGATTGCACGTATAGTTCTCTGTAGAGCAAAAGAGACTAGATGAACTGTAAGTGACTTTTTTTTTCTCAAGACATTGTTTCTCTGACCAGGCCAAATATTTTAATTTTTGAGAGATAACCTTTTGATTTAAAGAGCTTTAGTTTCATCAGAGAAGGGTTATTTTTTCTCATTAATTTTATTTCTCTTCTATGAAAAATTACTTTTAGAGTGACCTGTATAGATGTTTATCGCCATTAATGGCAATCATATCAGTTAAGTGGAAACTTTGCTTTTGAATATGTCTACATTACAGGTATGCAGATTAATAACATAATATTACTCATCCCACAGTAAAGTCAAAGTAGATGAACAGGACTCATATTGCTTTTTCAGAAATAGGGAGAATCCTCAGAGAACTAAAAATGACTTATTTGTTATTGGCCCTCAGATCTGCATTTGAAAAGTATGAGTTTTGCCCTTTCTTCCTGTGATAATTAATTTCATTGTTTGATCTCCTAAAGTAGGAATAAATTTCCACCCATGTTGAATCTTGGTGAGTTTATTTTGGAATAGAAAATCATCAAATCATTTTAGCATGGTTAAAAATCAAAGTTCCTAAAATTGGTGTTATTGCCTTAAATTAGAGTTTCAGTGCCAAGGATATGGGTTGTTTTGTGGGTTTTTTTTGGAGTTGTTTTGTAAATGTAAGACAGTTGCAGATTAGTTCTAATATTTTACTTTTATTGTTAAAGATGTTAGGAAATGCTACCTGTTGATGATGAACAAAAACATTTTACAAGTGGAATTCACATTTTAGAGGAACTGTTACTGATGAGTATTAGGGAAACCTTAAAACTTCTTTCCATACATTAAACCACATGAATATGTGTCTATAAAGGTCTAATAATTCAACCTGAGGGTAAATCAAGGAACAATGAGCTTGAATCTGAAGTCCTAGGTAAGATTGATTGAAATGCTAAAAGTCATCTGTATGATGGTAGGCATGATCCCTCCAGTCAAAAGCTCCAAGGGGGAGGAATTAAAGTCCAGCTTGATTGCAAACCCAGGCATCCCTGAAGGGTGAGAATCTGATGGGCTTTCAAACACTTCCCAAGAATGATGATTCCAGCAATGTCTTAATGAGCTATTCTCATCTGGTGGACATTTAGTTTAGCAGCACCTATTATAGGAACACTTCGGGTTTTGCTACCCTTAAGAGTAATAGTTATTTTATCTGAAATTTTATTTTCAGGGCACAACTACTGAAACAGAACTAAGAAAGAGACGATCCAGTTCTTACCATGTTTCCATGGACTTGCTGGAAGATCCTACGGCAAGGCAAAGAGCAATGAGTCTAGCTAGTATTTTGACCAACACTATGGAAGGTACGTCAAAAGCCTTACAGCAGAGCTACTTGGTGGTGCTTTGGTAATGATGAAAACAAAATACTTCCATAAATTCCAAGAAAATTCTTCCTGACCTTATACCATACCAGCATTATATCTCTTACCAGATAAAAGTAAAATCCACATACAACACATAGATTGTATTATCTCGAATAGATTTTTACATTTAGTCTCCAGGAAGCTAATGCAAATTCAAGATATACTTGGAATACTGCTTTTGTAGATTAAATTCTAAACTGTTGAAGCTTGTTGTGTGCATGACAATGAAAAGAGTAACATTATAAATATTTATTTTCATGATGATGCTAACCCATTTGAATTGTATTAACTGCTTAAGACACAAGTTATAAAGTCCTTGTATTTAACCAGAAATATAAATTAAAAATGTGGATTAGGATTCTATATTACCTCTTTGAAGCATTTTTTTAAAGAATTTTTAGAACTACTCTTGCCTCTCTCTGACCAGAATATTACAATATATCATCTCTTTATTTAGCTGCAGATTATATTTCTGAGTGGTTAACATATTGTTTAGACGTCTGGACCTTATAATGCCAAAATAAAGACTTTGGGGACAGCTTGATCTGTGATCAATTCTTGGCTCTGCTACATGTTAAATGTGTTAATTTATGACTCTAAACCACAGTTTTTCCATCAGTAAAATGCAGATAATGAAGTTTAGGCATAAGATTGTTGTAAGAATTGAGACATCATATATAAAGCACCTATGTATCTGAATTTAGAAGGCAGTTAATAAATATTATCATTATTGTTTTATTTTCATTGTTTTTGTTAATTCACATTTGTGTCTTTCCATGCTGTAAGTGAATTTAAATATGAACTATCAACTTCAACTACTTGGAAAATACTTTCATATAAAATATATTCTATCCTCCTCCCTTACCCCCTTCTCCCTTCTCTCCCTATCTCTGTTATAACTCCCTCTTTCTGCCCTCTCCCAAGCTGTATGTGTGTGTGTGTGTGTGTATGTGTGTGTAGACATGTCAAAGGAAAAAAAAAAGAGAGAGATGGTGAATGAGAGATGAGGCATAGGCACATGGCTTTCTTATTGTTAGTTATAGTTTCTCTTGGTATTGGATGGATTCTTGGAATAATTCTTTTCTAGTCTGAATGCAAAGATCCTTTGATACTAATACCAGTACCAAAGCCTAAAAGTCACAGCCAGGAAAAACTCACAGTGTAGATGGCCGAATATATCACAGCCATGTCAATATTACAAGACCCAATTTCTATAATATCCTACTGCAGTATCAGAAATCTTTTCACTGATTTCTATGGAATATTAAACTCAGTACGTTCTTCTCCAACCTCGCCTGCGTTAGCTTGCACTCCCTCTTCTCCCCCAGCTGCCAGTAGCTTGCTCCTCCCTGTCCCTCCAGGTAAATCTTTTGAAGATTCTCTGGTCTTCTGCTCCTTGCCATAGCAAAACCACTGAGAGGAAGCTGCCAGTGGTTCTGCTACCGATGTCAGCAGCATGTCTGCTCCCTAAAGCAAGAAGTAGAGAAGGAGACAGGGTAAGTCTAAATCAACAGTCCTACTTTGCACTTCTGATACCATTAAGTTTGAGCTGACATAAGAAATTACTTGAAAAGCATCAATCCACCACAAGATTGGACTTGTCCACTAATTAAGATATGGAGTTCAAAATGAGTGCACCCAAATGGCTCTCCATTGAAATGTATCTCAATGGAGTTGCCTAGGATGTCCTAGAAATATGTATAATTCAGGAAGCAGGAGACTGAGTGTTTGGTTTAATATCTGCAGAGCTTTGTGACTTTATACTTTTGTGAGGGACAATGGCAACATTTTCATTCTGTTTTTCGTTGGCTATATGGAATGTGGCATTGATCTATGTTGTTTGTTAGCAATACTTCACATACACATGCATACTAGAGCTGTCTTTAATATGGTCCTTCCTATTTTTGTTCCTGCTAACAGTAGAAAGGTTTCTTAAGTTGACATAATTTGCTTATTTGGGGATCTTCCTTCAAAGCTAATCATGGTTTAATTTACCTTTTTTTTTTTTTGGAACCAGGCTTGTTGATCCAGCTGGCTGGCATCTTTTGTTTTCCTTCTTTTGAACTACAGTCAAGTCTCCATTGTCCATGGTAATGAATAGCCTCCTATTTAATGAAATTGTTTGGTTTTCAAGTTTTAAATGCAAAAACCGCATAGAAATGTTTCCTGGTCACATCCATGGGAAGGATAGTGAGAGGGAAAGCTACAAACACCTGAGGAATTGAGGAGAGCCAACAAAATATCTAAACTGGGATGTAAATGAATCCCACTGCGGATAATCCACACAGGAATAATGGAGAAATGGCTGTCGTTCTTTCATGAGTGCTTTGTTTTGTTTTAAAATGTAAGATTATTTTTCTCTGTCTCTGTCTCCCTCTCTCCTGTCATTCTCTCTCTCTCTCTCTCTCTCTCTCTCTCTCTCTCTCTCTTTGGCATGAATAATTGAATGATTTTATTTTAGAACTAAAACAACTTTGCTCCACTTTTTCCTGGTGTCAAGATGAGCAACACTGGATGAATTTTCCCTTTTGAACTTTTCTCTGGTATATTTTTTTTTCTACACAATTCCTGTTTGCTTCTTTTTATCTACTGAATGACAAGTAGCATTTTAAAAAATAACTTATTCTGACTACACATAGACCAAGAGTCATTATTTCATTTCTCTTTTGTTATTTACTGTAAATGACATCTTTTTATTTTCAGTATAAGCATGATGTTATGTAGGAGTCTTAAAAGCATCTATGCAATAACTGGTGATTAATAATTATGTCTTGCCTTTGATTTATACCTCAACTCTTCTTTATTATTTACACAATTACATATTAAGAGAAATAGAATAAACTGTGCACTTGAAGAATTTTAATACCTAAAGAGATAACTGAAGAATCTACCTCCAATAGACTTCTGTTAAAAATAATTGGGAAATTAATCTCCTAGAGGGAAGTGGTAAACTTACAGCATTAGCTAATAGTGAATGTTTATCAGCAAAACAAAAAAATCATTAGCTGTGGTCATGTTTACCAATTCCATATGCTGTTTTCTCTCCCACAAAGTTTAGCTTCTAGTAAATTATACCAGGTTTGGAGGGATATTACAGTTGCTACTATAGTAATACTAAGGTAACTGATCAGAGTCAAATATGTCATGAATGAAAAAAGAATCTTTCCCTCTACTTTAGTGGTAAGAAATGGTGGTCTCATATTTAGCAGAGCAGGTAATCAGGTGTGAAGCAATAACACGGGCAGAAAACAAGTTCTCCAGTCTTTTCCCACTCAAGAGTTTATTAAAAGAACATCTTACCCAAGAAGATAGTAATCTCCCACTTCCTAATTCTCCAAAATTCTTTGCCAGTATTTACCAAGTTTCAGTATTTTGAATATCACCTTAAACAGCTGTGCAATCTCTCTTCTCTCTCCTATTTTTTAGTTGAAATGCTTCTTGAAACCATTGTACCTTTTTCTTAAATAATGTATGTTGATATGAAATTTTATAGGCTTGATACGATAATTACACATTTTAATACATTAAAATAAATTCACACCATGAAAATTTATGAGTTCTACATATGTTCCACCGAAAATCCTCTTGTATTTTACCAGTAGCACATAAGTCCCAGTTGAAACATTGATTTATGCTAACAGTGAGTATCCCAGTTCCTTAAGGTACATATTTTCTCTTCTTTTGTGCCCTCTAGTTAAATAATGAAATATAGAGAAAAACAATCTTGATGAGTTCAGTATGCAAGTCTGTATTTACAAGGCTTATCTGGAAACTTTTTAACTAAGACTGGTGACACTGACAAAAAATATCTCATTTTGCCTCAAAACACATACCTAATCCAAGAAACTGAGATTCAGTATGATAACTGATAAAGATTTTAAGACATCTCCTGAGAGGGATTCTTTGATAACATATATGCATCTGGCTCTATCTGGAACATGGATGAGCTTAACCCAAGTCCTACCCATTAGTTTTGGATATCCTTGAAGATAATTTTCAGACAGTTTAATATTGCAGATAGAATCTTAGAAATTCTGTTTAGCCAAAATAGATTTGGAAAGTTCACTAGCCTTTTTGTGGCCATGTTTTCTACAGCAAAACTATGATAGGTGAAACCTGTTCCACAACCAGATTAACCCATTAAGGCCTTTTGACAACTTTAGATTTCTAAAAATTCACTTTCAATTTAAACCAAATGCTGCTTAATAGAAAGTAAGCAGTTTTCATGAGTATTGTAACTTTTTTTTTTCCAGAACTTGAAGAATCCAGACAGAAATGCCCACCCTGCTGGTACAAATTTGCTAACATGTGTTTGATTTGGGATTGCTGTAAACCATGGTTAAAGGTGAAACATCTCGTCAACCTGGTTGTGATGGACCCATTTGTTGACCTGGCCATCACCATCTGCATTGTCTTAAATACTCTTTTCATGGCCATGGAGCATTATCCTATGACGGAGCAATTCAGCAGCGTGCTGTCAGTCGGAAACCTGGTAAGACTCACTGAGGGTTCCTCTTCCCACTGAAAGAGTTCATGATTGCTTTAAGGAATTTCATATATCGCCCTCAAGTTAAATATGAATTAATTGGCCATGTAAACCTGGACAGCAAAAGTTTAACATCCCTTTTTCAACAACAAAAAATATATTGCTACAGTTAAGGAGTGGGAAAGAATTAAAAATTTTACGTACAATTTGATTTAGAATTAAATTTAAATTGCCCATCCATTAGAAAGATTATTATAGGGCATCTGGGTGGCTTAGTTGGTTAAGCATCCCACTCTTGGTTTCAGCTCAGGTCATCCTCTCCTGGTTTGTGAGTTCGAGCCCCATGTCAGGCTCTGTGCTGCTGGTGCGGAGCCTGCTTGGGATTCTCTCTCTCCTCCTCTCTCTCTGCTTCTCTCTGTCCCTCTCTGTCTCTCTCTCTCTCTCAAAATAAATAAATAAATTTAAAAAGAAAAATGAGGGTCGCCTGGGTGGCGCAGTCGGTTAAGCGTCCGACTTCAGCCAGGTCACGATCTCGCGGTCCGGGAGTTCGAGCCCCGCGTCAGGCTCTGGGCTGATGGCTCGGAGCCTGGAGCCTGTTTCCGATTCTGTGTCTCCCTCTCTCTCTGCCCCTCCCCCGTTCATGCTCTGCCTCTCTCTGTCCCAAAAATAAACAAACATTGAAAAAAAAAATTAAAAAAAAAAAAAGAAAAATGATTATGAATTATAGAGGACATTGGTCTATGATAACAAGATTCTGTGTATTTCTCAGGTATTTGGAATAGATTCTTAAGAACATGACTACATTTGTCAATCAAACTGTAAAATATACCAAGTTAGATAATTTTGAAATATAATTTATAAACACCTGAAGATGAATTCTTTTGGGAGGAAATATCACATAGAGATTATTTCTGTGTGAATTTTTCCCGTAAATTTACGAATTTATAATGATGAATTTTTGCATACATTTTCACTTAAAAATTTGTGTTAACATTCACTGGCTATATGGTAGAGGGATAGAAAGGAAAGTGATCTTCCACTGAGAAACAAAATGAGGGCACCTGGGTGGCTCAGTCTGTTAAGCATCCGACTTTGGCTCAGGTCATGATCTCACAGTTCCTAAGTTCAAGCCCCATGTCGGGATCTCTGCTGTCAGTGCAGAGCCCACTTCGGATCCTGTCCCCCTCCATCTGCCCCTCCCCCCACTCACTCTCACTCTCTTCCTCTCTCTCCCTCTCTCTCTCTCTCAAAACTAAGTAAACATTAAAAACATAAACAAAATGAATAAATTCAGGCAACAAAAATATATTGATACCAATGTAAGTGGCTTAAGTTCTCATGCACCTCCCAACCTGAGAAATGAAATTTACATGAGCTCCCTCTTTCTAGGTTCCCATAAATTCAGTCCTAAGGTAGATACTATGATTGTCTGTATTTTACAGTTGGGGCAACTGTACCCATGAGAAATTGGCAGAACAATGGGAGGTCTGAACACTATTTCAGAGACTCTGAAAGCTATTTCAGAGACTCCTACAAACTGTGGTCAGAAATCATAGAACTGGAGGGTAGGAAAGGACAATAACATTACCTAGTCCAAATTTTCACCTATATAAGAACCTCTTCAACATTATTTCTAAAAAATGAGAAATGGATGAAAGAAACTTTATGGAGGTGGATATTAGGAAACAACTCAAATGGGAATAAGCAAAAATAAAGGGAATTCATTACCTCAAGTAGCTAATGTCCATTTGGGCACAGCTCCATGTTTTCACCTATCTAGATTCTGGTTCTCCAGCAATGTCATTGGGAGTCATTTTCTGACCCTACTTCTTCCCAATATGTTTCCTTCATCTCTGGCTGGGTATTCTATTGATGGCAGCATTCTACCAACTTTTATCTTACACCTGAGCAGAAGGATTGTGCTTCCTAACTAGTTACTTTAACAAAGGTCTAAGAGTAGAATATTGTTGGCCTGGTTGTAGTTACACGACTATTTCTAAGCCAGTTAGTTACTCTTATTCTAGAGTTAGAATACCCTATTTGAGTACACCAGTACCATTTCTTATCACTGAAGACAGAGTAAATGAGTGGATTATAAAGAGAAAAAAAAATCTAAATCTGACATTTCTAGGAGAGTAGATGCTGGAAAGACAAAAATAACAAATGGACAATTCAAAGTGGAACTTGTCTTTATGTGTTAAGGAAGGCAAGAATTGCATTTTGAGATGAATCATGGAATAGTGGAAAATATATGGACAGGATACACATTCTTCTCAAGACATATAAAACATTACCCAGGATAGGTTATATGTTAGGTTATAAAATAAACCACAATAAACTTAAAAAGATTGAAATCATACAAAATACTTTTCTGACAAAAATGGAATTAAATTAGAAATCAATGAAAAATGGAGTGCCTGGGCGGCTCAGTCGTTTTAAGTGTTCAACTCTTGATTTCAGCTAGGTCATGATCTCACAGTTCTGTGAGATCAAGCCCTGCGTTGGTGTCCACACTGATAGCATGGACCTACTTGGGATTCTCTCTCTCTGCCCCTCCCCCTCTCACGCTGTCTCTCTTTCTCTCTCTTTCTCAAAATAAATACATAAACATTTTAAAAGATGACTCTTTGAAAAGATCGGCAGAAATGATAAATCTTCACCTAGACTTATAAAAAAAAGTCAGGAATGGGGTGCCTGGGAGGCTCAGTCAGTTAAGCATCAAACTTCAGCTCAGGTCATGATCTTACAGTTCGTGAGTTTGAGCCCCATGTCTGTGAAATTGAGCCCTGCGTCTTAGCTGGCAGTACAAAGCCTGGAGTCTGCTTCAGATTCTGTGTCTCCCTCTCTCCCTTTGCCTTCCCCCACTCACACTGTTTCTCTCTCTCTCTCTCTCTCTCTCTTTCTCTCAAAAATAAATAAACATTAAAAAATTTTAATAAAAATTTAAAATAAATCAGGAATGGATAGGGGACATCACTATGGGCCTTACATAAACAAAAGTTTAAGGAGTAGTATGAATAATTTATGCCAACAAATTAATAGCCTACATGAAATGGAAAAATTCCTAGAAAGTAACAAACTACTGAAACTAAGTCAAGAAGAAATAGAAAATCTGAAAAAACCTGTAGTAAGTAAAAATTGGATTAGAAAAAAAAAACAAACTACTCCTACAAGGATAGCCTAGGCCCAGATAGTTTTATTGGTGAATTCTATCAAAGTTTTAAAGAATTAACACCAATCCTTTGCAAACAGTTCCAAAAAATAGAATAAAAAGGGACACCTCACAACAGAGTTTAGAATTTGAAGCCAACCAAGATAGAGAAACTGAACAAACACTTCAAGCTTTTCTTTGAAACCCCACATGGTCTGCACTTCAGAAGTAAAGACTATGCCAAAGAATTAGAATTCAGCTAGGACAAAGAATAAACCAAAATCATTCTGCCCTAATCAAATATAAAACATAGCTACCATAAATTCCAGGTGGCCAACCTGTAACCTAATTGCCTGATAAAACAAAAATCATTGTTGTTCAGAGGAAAATAATTGATCAGAATTCTCTACAACACATCACATCACATAAAAAATTGCATGATATGTGAAGGAAATAGGAAAACGTGTCTTAGTTAAGAGAAAAAACACTCAATAGAAATAGATCCAGAAATGACTGAATTGCTAGCATCAACATAAAAGGACTTTAGAGGAGCTATTATAAATGTGTTTAATGCTCTGAAGGAAATAAATGGTCATAAAGAATAAACAGATGGAGAGTATGAGCAGGAAAAAATGAAAACTATAATGAAGAATCATCTAGACATTTTAGAACTAAAAAGAAAAAATCTTAAAATGAAAAATTCATTTGATGGGTTTTTTAAAAAGCAGACAACAGAAGAAAGGGTTGCTAAACTGAAGCAAATCAATAGAATGATCCAATTTGAATGGCAGAGAAAAACCAAAAAGAAAAGTATACTGAGTCTTCCTAATCTGCAAAATAACATCAAATGGTCGAATATTTGCATAATGGAGACCCAGAAGGAGAAAGGTGAAGAGTAGAACAAAACAAATATTTGAAAAAGCAATGGCCAAAAATTTCTCAAAATTGGTGGCAAATATTAATTTAGACATTTTGAAATTAAATTATAAAATTTCAGTGAACATCAGCAAGGATAAATTTAAACTACATTGGGCAAATCTTAGTCAAGCTGCTGAAAATAAAAGAAACTTTTAGAAACAGCCAGAAGACTGGGGCTGATATCTCATCAGAAATAATTCAGTCCATGAGAAAATGGCCTGATGAAAGAAAGAAAAAAAGAAAAAGTTAACTTACTATTCTGCAGTGAAATTATCCATCAAAAGCTAATGTGAAATGACTTTAACATGAACAAAAGCAGAGAAGTTGTGCCAGAATTGTGCTACAAGACATCCAAAGGAAGTTAGTTCTTCAGGCTGAAGGAGAAAAGCATATGAGATGGAAAATTGAATCTGGGAATGATGGTCACGCAACATTTAAAAATGTAGGTAAATAGAAAAGACTGTCTTTTTTCCTTAATTTCTTTAAAAGACAGCTGATTTTTTAAAGCAAGAGTTTACAGTGTATGTAAGTGTAAAATATATGAAAAGATTAGCACATATGATTGGGTGGCAAAAAGATTGCTTAGAAAAGAAACAAAAAGTGTTACACAGTATTTAATACCTGTAGAATATGCAAACAATGGAGGTCTACTCAACAATAAAAGGAGAATAAGCTGGTAATGCCTGCATGGATGAATTTCAACCTGAAGTATTCGAGAGATATTTGGAAAAGTCAGTAAGACTGTCAGGTTTCTGAGATAATCACCAAGTTTGAGAGTGAGTTCATTTACTGAGTTAGTATCAAAAGAGAAGCAAGATTGTGCAGAGAAAATTTTAAGGTGAATTTTGGATCTGTTGAATTTGAGATACCTGTAAAATAGCCATTCAATGAAAGTATTGAATAAACAAGTGGGTATATATTTCTGGACCTCAGGAGATGTGCTTGAATGGAAAAATAAATCTCAAAGTGTAAACTTATTGTAAAAGGAAAATTAGAGTAAGAATTTCCAGGACAGAGAGACCTCTGAAGAAATCCAATATCGAATAATTTGTTAGAAGAAAAGCAACTGAGAAGTGTCCAGGGAGGTGTGGATCACTGAAGCCAGGAACAGAAAATATTTTAAAGAACAAGGAACAGTAAACAATGTGAAAAAACTTCTGAAGAGGTAAGCAAGATAACTGCAAAATTTTCAATTGAATTTAGCAATGGTGATGTTGGTGGCTATGTTGGTGAAATTGGTTAAAGCAGGTTGTGTTGACTGATATGTTGTAAAGTTGAAGAAATGGAACTACTGAGTATAGCAAATACCCAACCTCTTAAAGAAGTTGGGCCAGGAGGAGAGGATGTACAGGGGGTAGCTAACAGGGGAAGTAGAATTCAAGGAGAGTTTCTTTGATGATGCTGGTGGTAGAGAAGGACTGAGTGTCCATTGCTCCCTATAAAATCCCAATTGGAAGCAGTCAGTAGCAAGAAGAGATTAAAACTACAGGTTAATTGAGAAGATGAATTCTTTGAGAAGACCAAAGGAGACACAGAACACAGGCAGAGAAATTAGAGCAAAGCATGGGTTTGGATACAAGTAGTTAGGTAGATGGAACACTGAGAAAGTTCAGGTTGGCTGACCTCTGTTACCTCTCTGTGACGCAGAAGTACTGAGAGTGAAAGATAAGGAAACAGTTGAAGACATGTGGAGGAGAAAGGTTGAAATAGTTGTAGAGTAAGGAAATAGAGAATGGAGAATGCTGCTTCTTTTTGGTCACGAAAATAATTTTTATTTTTAGTATTCTTACCATCAGTAGGGCTGGTGGTGACCATGTTTATTACAGCTAATGTGAAATATTCTTAGCACAAGACAGAGCTGAGCAGTTGACCATAATTATTTAACTGAACCTTTCATGTAAGATAACTAAAATGACAATATTAATCTTATTGTCTTAATTCATGTACTCCTCATCACTTAATAAGCCTTAAATATAATAAACAGTTAAATATTGATTTGAGTACAGACCATTTGAGGTTACTGATTTGTTGGACCTAAACCAGTTTTTAAAATTTGTAATTGGATTGTGGTCTGTTGGGAGGCAATAATTATTAGTGTTTTCAAGAGTAGTCACTTGTGTAATAACATTTCTCATTTAGGTCTTCACTGGGATCTTCACAGCAGAAATGTTTCTGAAGATAATTGCCATGGATCCATATTATTACTTTCAAGAGGGCTGGAATATTTTTGATGGCTTAATCGTGAGCCTTAGTTTAATGGAGCTCGGTTTGGCAAACGTGGAAGGATTGTCAGTTCTCCGATCATTTCGGCTGGTAAATTAACTGGGAGTATCCGTAATGTTTTTATAATTAATGTAATCAGACATCACTCTTATCTAGTAAGAATTATAGGATTTCCCACAGTTACAATATTATTTGAATACATTTAAAAACACACTGGATTTCTCCACAATCAGACAGTACTTTGATCTTTATCAGAGCTTTCATGGATAGATGAAGTTCATTCAAATGAACAGCCAACAGTTCTGTCTTTAGTGATTGAATGGCAGGGCTAATGGGGAGGGAGAAAAAAAAAAGGATTCATATATAAATCCAAATCACAATTAAACAACACAATACTCATCTTTCAGTTATGTGGAGTTAGCCATTCATAAGGCTTGGCTGAGATTTAGGATGAGCCACCTTTCTCTCAGAGGCTCAAGAATTATGGACTTGCCCACTTTCCCCCCATAGAAGTCAAGACGTGAGACTGGGTAGAGTAGACAAGAGAAGATGATAGAGCTTCCCATGCATTTGCCCCTTCAGCCAACCAGGAAGTCACCAAATCCAATCTCTAAGAAGAGTTGCCTATATTATGTTTTATTAATTTTAAACAAAGTCTTTTACTTGATCTTTATATTCATCAGTTCACGAATCTTTTAAATTAAGAGACAAAATATCACTTGGCGCATTTCCATTTAAAGTGTGATACGTTTTATCATTTGAGTTGGCTCTTTTTGTGATTTACTTTCAAATAACAGAGGTTGTATATAATTTGTAAAGACAAGTTCCTATCGGTAACTTATCTTAATGGTGATTAGGTTCAAGAGTTTGCTGTGAAGTCTTTTGAGAATTCCCTTACTGCCTTCAAAGATCAAATTTGAGTTGAGATCTTTACAGCTAAGGTCCTTACCTAGTCGTCTAGATAGCTATGGATCTAATTTGAACCTAGAAGGATGCCAAATAACAACAACAGAAATGATTAGAAATGATTGTATAACAAGTAGTATGGGCAAGTACTTTAAAGTGTTTAGTAAATCTTTGTGATGATTGTGATTCAGTTTGGGGAAGTAGGAAGTGATAGGAAATAATATCATTAGTGTTTTGCTTAGTATGTAGGCTCTTTTGCATTAATTATTCCCTGGCAATAAATTAAACATTTTGATGCTTATATTTTGTTCCTTTGGATCACTTATATGCCATTAAATAACGCACTACTCCTGGCCTGACATTTCCTGAAACATCAGAAATGAAACGCTGCTGCAGTTGAACTATAAATGGTACTTTAGAGGATTCCATGAGCTAATAATACAACCAACATGTCAAGTACAGTGGTGCAAGCCATTTACACACTATACTGAGTTGATTTATTGTCACTAAAGACATAAGAGTTGACAAAATATATATATTTTACTTAAGTCCAAGTATTTCTTATTCAAATAAAGTAGTTCGAGTAATCCCCCCTTATCTGTGAGGATATGTTTCAAGACCCCCTGAAAATGTAGATAGTACTGAACCCTATATATACTGTTTTTTCCTATACATACACACCTGTGGTAAAATTTAATTTATAAATTAAGCACAGTAAGAGATTAACAATAATAAGTAATAATAAAACAGAACAATTACAACAATATACTCTTAATAAAAGTTATGTGAGGGGCGCCTGGGTGGCTCAGTCGGTTAAGCTGCCGACTTCGGCTCAGGTCATGATCTCGCGGTCCATGAGTTTGAGCCCCGCGTCGGGCTCTGTGCTGACAGCTCAGAGCCTGGAGCATGTTTCAGATTCTGTGTCTCCCTCTCTCTGACCCTCCCCTGTTCATGCTCTGTCTCTCCCTGTCTCAAAAATAAATAAAATGTTTTAAAAAATTAAAAACAAAAAAAGTTATGTGAATGTGGTCACTCTTTCTCAAAATATCTTACTGTATTGTACTCACCCTCTTCTAGTGATGATATGAGGTGACAAAGTGCCTATGTGATGAGATGAAGTGAAGTGAATGACGTGGGCATTGTGACAAACTGTTAGGCCACTATTAACCTTCTAACAATATGTCAGGAGAAGGATCGTCTGCCTCCAGACCATGGTTGACTGTGGGTAACTGAAACCACAGAAAGTGAAAACGCAATTAAGGGCAGGGGGATTACGGTGTAATAAATCTCCTATAAAATACAGCCTGATGTTACAGCCAACTAAAGATAACAGCAAGATTAAAGCAATCTAAAGATTTAAAGAAATTAGTTGGTTTTTCTCTTGTACCTTGTATAATTTGTGTTAACTTTATCTGTACCTGTGCATCTCAAGTACACTACAAAATGTATCTACTTTGGGCTTCTAAGTAATGACAGCCTCCACTTCTTTGAAACAGTTTCTGCTAATTAATCACCATCAATCTTAGATATATCAGTTTCCCATAGAAAAACAAAAAGAATATTACATATGCTTATGTAAGATTCTGGAAATTTTGGTGTATCTTATTATTAAAATGCCATTAAGAACTATATAATGTAATTGTTTTATTTACAAAATAGTCTATTTTAGAATGAAAAATAATGCATGGTATTAAATAACTGATACATTTGCTAGATAATAGTTTGACACACAAATAACCCACCACCCTACAATTAAGACAGTTATGCTGTAGATTTTCCCTGTAAATAAATTTACAGATTCTTTAGAAGGCAGGGCAGTAATAGCCTTCTTGCTCTTGTTTCCAGCTCCGAGTTTTCAAGTTGGCAAAATCCTGGCCCACCCTGAATATGCTGATAAAGATCATTGGCAATTCTGTGGGGGCTCTAGGTAATCTCACCTTGGTGTTGGCCATCATCGTCTTCATTTTTGCTGTGGTCGGCATGCAGCTCTTTGGTAAGAGCTACAAAGAATGTGTCTGCAAGATTTCCAATGATTGTGAGCTCCCACGCTGGCACATGCATGACTTCTTCCACTCTTTCCTGATTGTGTTCCGCGTACTGTGTGGAGAGTGGATCGAAACCATGTGGGACTGTATGGAAGTCGCTGGCCAAACCATGTGCCTTACTGTCTTCATGATGGTCATGGTGATTGGAAACCTGGTGGTATGTAGTAAAAATATTTTCCTTATTTTCGGTAAAAGACAATATAACCATAAAAATTATGTTCAACAGATGAATGTTTTATGTTTTTGGCCTTTTTAAAATCAATCCTCAATTATTCATTATTGCAGGAACCAGGTATAGTTTAGACTATGGAGACCCACATAAGTCTTCTTTAAATATTTGTTTATTCTTTGTTTTTAACTTTTTCCAGTTTTATTGAGACATAATTGGCATATAACATAAACTCTTAAAATACCTTTTGAATCAAAGTTGTTCTTCGTCACTATACCTCTTACTATTCCATGGAGAGAGACATTTCTGGCTTTTACCTTTCAGTTCTTGTATTAAAGCATGGATGTGTTACTAAGAATAGTCACTCATTTTGTTTATAAGTATCAACAACAGTATCACTTGAAAATGTTTCATATTCAGTTCTCCTACAAATTGGGGTTAAAAATTAATGATGATCTCAATCCATTAAACACGCATAAGTTATTTGGTACTTAGAAACTATAGTGTTGGCAAGTAACATTGACTCAAAAATCACTTACCATGTCTATATCCAATGAACCATTCTCAACACAACTTTACTGATTCCTGGAAGCATGGAAAAGCTGATAAAAAAATATATATGACGCAGTGATATGACTTACTCAAACAAGATTAAAATAGAAAGTATCTAACACATGTCAAAAGTGTAAAAACAAAGTACTATATATCAAGTTCACTAAGTGGAAACATTGCTTTACAATGGCAAGGATAATCAAGGAAGGCTTTGTCAAGGAGTTGAACCTGAATTATCCTTAATTAAGATGTAAGATTAGGTTGTTAGGAAGAAAAGTAGACTGTCCCAAACCAAGCAACAGTGGACCCAGTGGATGGAGAAGAGAAAACAATAGACTTAATGAGGGGATCAGGTTCTTCTACTTTAAATATTAGGTAATTATACTGAGTTTCATGATTAAGTCCCAATCCAGAGGCATAGAACAAGGACTGACATAACCAATATTTTAAAGTATATAATTTATAGACTTAATTTCCTTTCACATAAAAGTAACCTCCAGTTCCCCAAAGGAAGAAGAAAAGGCTAACAGTTATTTATTTCTATTCATTTGCAGATTTCAACTTCCTCAATATTGGGTTAGATAATTCAGACCTATTCTTGAAGTAACAAAAAACATGAGCAGTGTGCAATCCAGAAACTTGAACTGTGACTTAAAATGACAAATATTTATTATCTCTAGTTTCTGTGGGTCATACATTTGGGAGCAGCTAAACTGGGTGGTTCTGACTCAGGGTCTGTCATAAGGTTGTTGTCAAGATGTTGGCTAGAGACCCAGTTGTCTTGACTGAAGCTGAAAGATCAGCTTCCAAGAAGGCTCCATCTCTTAGTTATTGGCAGGAAACCCCAGTTACTTATTGGCTGTTGGCACAAAGTCTCAGTTCCTCTCCACATGGACCTCTCAATAGGATTGTTGAGTATCTTCATGACATGGCAGCTGGCTTCTCCCATAGCAGGTGACATGAGAAAGAGGGCAAGGAGAAGCTTTCTTTGTGTTCTGATCTTGAGGTCATACACTGTCCCTCTGCCATGTTGTATTCATCAGAGCTAGTCACTAAGAAGAACTCAACTTAAGAGGGAATTGGGCTTTAACTTTTGAGTGGAGGAATATCAAATAATTTGTAGGTATATTTTATAGCCACCACAATCCCCAGTACAACTTGCTTGCTTTCAGAGAAGTATAAGATTGCATAGTACAGAAACAGATAGTCCTAGGATTATATAGGACAGAAATAAAAGTCATAAGTTTGTATTATAGATTTCATTTGATTTCAAATATATGTGTATATACAGATAGGTATCCCATATAAATTATTAATTTACTGAAATAAGACAAATCTGACATGTAATTGTACAGAAGATTCAAGTTGAGAAGAGAATTTCAGAAGTATCTATACCTATGATGACATTTCATATAAACTTATATTACTATATATGAATAAAGAGATATAGTCTATAAAATAATCATTTCCATCTACATACATAAATTTCAATCCTGTACCTTTAAGGAAAGAATTAAAGGCTCTCCATTCTTTTTTTACTATCAGCTTTAAAAGTTTCTTCTTTTGTCATATCCTGGATATATTTCTGGAGTAACTAAGGTAGTAATAATATCTGTCATGTTTGCCACCAGTAAGGAAATGTGTTCAGATTACATTTGCTTAAACAAGGAAGAATGACTTGATGCACTGCCTCCTATAATTTTTACTTTTCATCCTCACTAAAGAGAAAAAAGTCCCCCAAAGGCGAACTGATAGAACACCATTTGAACTCACATAAACTTCTTATGGTGCTCCACCACAAGTGTCAGGAATCACTGTGATGCCTGGTCCAAAGGCAAGACAGAGGTGGGGCCACAGACTTCCCCACCCTCCTAACAAGAAACGGGAGTGGGCCATATATAGCTATAACAGTACTCTGAAGTATTTTCTCAGTACTTTGAAGAGAAAATACAAGTTGGATCTCACTCTGGAGAGTTGATTGATACATATCAAGAAAAAATTTCCTAATAGACAAAGTTCATTAATAAACCTTCAGAAATCAAATCTAGAAAACAATTATGACACCAAAATTCACTTTTATTATGGATAAAAAGCAAAATGTAGCATTTTTTTCTTTCATCTATTTTTCATCCAAATAATAAATCCAAAAGCAAAGCACATTAAAATATAACTTTATTGGTAAATTCTTGAAGTAAAGGAGTAGGCCTTAGTATGAATACCAGCAGCCATGGTGTAGCCATTGAGAGATGTCAAGATAGACTCACAGCTTATCTGAAGTCGTTATTGGATCTCACAAATTTTTACATTTCTTACTACCATTGGTTGTACTAACGTGTAACTGGATATCAAAGGAGTTGTAGGCCTTATTAGCTTATTGGAAAGGTAGGAATGGACCAAGGATGCTGCCTCCTTTTCATTGTAGTTTTCCTTGAAATCTTTTCTAGGACTCTTCTTCTTTATTATTTACATTTTGTCTTTGGCTCCCTTTACTACTATATCCTTTTTTTACTCTATATGCTTGAATAATCAGAGACTCATAAACATTATCAATCAAATCCTGGAAAAAACTTACAGCTTGGCCTTGTCCCATCTGAATACGCTATCCCTTAGTAAATTATACTTGTTGAGTACGTAAATAGGTTTATAGTCACTAATCTTTTTACTCTCTCATGCCAGACGGGCTTATTTTTGGAGACTCAAGTTACAGATTAATTAGTAATCTTGTTCAAGGTAATACCTTGATTCCACCATCATAAGTCGATGGTAACATCATTATTATCATATAATAACTATTTTGTATAGTATTTCAGCCATTTTATAGATCTAGTGACCAAGATTTTCTGAACCAAAGCTGTGGCTTTTGATTTAGCAATAGTTATATCTTTTTTTTCTAATTTGGTAAGTTATCTACGTGCAAAAATTGGTACAAACACATAAAAATAAAATCATGTTTATGGAATCATCTTTGGTTTTAGAAATAAAATTATAATAAATTATCAGTGTCCTGGAAAATCCAGGTCACATGGGGAAAATACTTAGCATCCCAAATAAAACTTTTTTTTTCCTTATTCACTGTATGGTTATCTAGATAACTAAGATTTCTCTTTTGGAACTGAACTTCATTTAGAAGTTTCTTATAATAGTGGTTTCAGTAATTTTGCAATGACTGAAAAGGAAATAGTGTTAATAGTATTACTTGATATTGGCCAGGTATTTATTCCATTCACCTTTTCCAGAATAGTTTATCATAAACTAAAAGGAATACCTATTAGTAAAAAAAAAAATGAGATGTAAGAGTAATTTTGGAAAATTTATAGTTAAGAGCAACTGAAACAACACAATGTTTTGATCACCTATTTTCCTGTTGTGTTCAGGTTCTGAACCTCTTCCTGGCCTTGCTCTTGAGTTCGTTCAGTTCTGACAACCTTGCCGCCACTGATGATGATAATGAAATGAACAATCTCCAGATTGCTGTGGGGAGGATGCAGAAAGGAATTGATTATGTTAAGAGAAAACTACGTGAATTTATTCAGAAAGCCTTTGTTAGAAAGCAAAAGGCTTTAGATGAAATTAAACCTCTTGAAGATCTAAATAACAAAAAAGACAGCTGTATTTCCAACCATACCACTATAGAAATAGGCAAAGATCTCAATTATCTCAAAGATGGAAATGGAACTACCAGTGGCATAGGCAGCAGTGTCGAAAAATATGTTGTGGATGAAAGTGATTATATGTCATTCATAAACAATCCCAGCCTCACTGTGACTGTACCAATTGCTGTCGGAGAGTCCGACTTTGAAAATTTAAATACTGAAGAATTCAGCAGTGAGTCAGATATGGAGGAAAGCAAAGAGGTAGGAATTTTTAAATAAAAAGATGTTTTGACATAATGTATGCTTTAAACTATGAGACTACTTTAAGGTTATGTTTCATCTCTGTAAGAAAATAGAAAATGTCTATTGATACCCTTTCTTTGGCAAAGTTGGTGATAGATAAGTTGATGACAGATTAAAATGTAGCTAGACAAATGGTACGCTGACTCATTTTCTCAAATACTCACCATTTTGGATTCTTGATAATATGAATATGCAGACTAATATGAATTTTTCTAATTTAAAAAAATAATTTTAGATTTGTGAAAGTGCCTTCATTTATTCACTTTCTTCCTTGTAATTCTCCCACAATGGTGTTTTTTGGTACATACTAGAAAAATACTTGGCGAGAGGGCAGTTCTAATTCTCACTTGGCTTTTATGAAACACTTCTTAAAATGTGATCTTACTTAGTTTGCACAGATATTTTTATTTATGAAAAATCTGATTGGGATCTTGACTTGATATTTACATATAGGTTCATGTTTCTGAAGTAAATGTTTTTTTAAGGAAGTGAAGGTAGTGATGAAGAATCATGCTGAAAGTGTGTTTAACCTTACTGAACCAGCGCGTGGTGTCTACACAAACAATATGCCATGATACATTAGAGAATGGAAAATTCTGAATTTACCAATTTACATTAAGCGTCTTGGCAGTTTAAAGTATTCTTTGATTTCCTAGAAGAGTATGAGTACCAGAGTGTGCTTTTAGTTTGTTTATAGGTTAATAAGCACAGGGTTGAGAAGAAAGAGAAGAAAGAATTTAAACCCTTAGTGTTTAATTGTTTAACCATACTAAAATGAAAACAGAATTCCCAGTGATTAAAGCTTGAGTAAACATAAAAATAACAGCCAAAAACAAAGATTCATCCTTTCTTGCCACTTGAATTGATTGACAGAGAAGAGAAAGACCTCTAGTACTGTCTTCATTCTAAGAAAGATAGATAACTGGGGAGTTTGAGGCCCTGAAGGATAAACTTTAAGTAGCATAACAGTCACAAAAATTAGACATTAGTTAATAAAATTATGAACAAAAATATATTTCTATGAAGGAAACCTTAGCTATTTCCATCAGTATTTGCATGTGGATCACGTAAAATCACTGAAGAATATGCTATTTTTCATTCTTTCTTGCTTATAAGACAGGTAGTACTGCTAATTCAGTCATTAGGTAGAAGTAGATGTTAAACATGAAATCCAGAGAAAATTTAAATATAGGTACTAAAATTAACATGTAAGTAACAATGCCATAGCTCCTAGTTTCACAAAATAAGTGATGAGATTCAAGGGAAAACTTTGTAGCCTGAGGCGACAAATTGCTATAACTAGTTGGACTCAGATGTTTACTAATAAGGTCATTATTTTTAAATTTAACAATAACCATATATATATTAATAAAATTTTGGGTAAGCATAGTTGGTTGGATTATGCTGAAGGAAAGGGTGGGGCCTAATTTCTGGTATTGTATATTACCAGAAATTGAGGTCAGCATTTAGAAAATAGAATTGGGTCATTAAATTTTACTGTATATTCCCCTCTTGTTATCTTGACATCTACCAAACGCTAAACATTTCCCTTACAGTAAGGGAAGTCAATTTTTCTTTTTATGTATGTTTAATTTTAGGGTGTCATATAAACTAAGAAGAAATTATGAAGAATCAAATGTTAAAGCCACCAGTCAGTTTAAACTTTTGGCTAAGTTTGAATATCTTGACAGCGAGTCTTCTTAATTTTCAGAAATTTTAAAGTCTCAGGCTTCTCCAAAAGAGCGTATATTCATGTCTCACCTCAAACCATTATGTTCAACATAGGAGGAATGTCCAGTCAGGTGGGGTGTATAGTAGGAAAATGGAAGCTCTCTTTCCAGTTACCGTTAAGCTTTTCCATTTGTTTTCTGTTTGAATTAAGTATTCCAAAATAATATATGTGAAGTCAGTACTTTGGAATTGGAGGAAGAGACTGATCTGCCAGTTGGAAATAGAATTATTGTATTGCCTTAGCTGTGGAGTCCTCTTGATTCCTTCCCACCATAGAGATTGTTACCTGGTTGTTAAGTTTTATTACTTGAGAAATTTTCAATTCTGTCTTTATATCAAACTTGCTAAATACAAACTAATGAAAGATTCAGTCATTAGATAGAAGTAGTCTGGGAAGAGAAATGTGCAGGTTTTCAACTTTGGTATCTAACCTAGTAGCTCTACACTAGAAACTAAACGAGATTTGAGAGAATTATCCAAGAATTCCAAATATTCCTACCTGAAATCTCTGTTTAGTGTTCTGTCTTCTAGTTATTTTTGTCTGGTCATTTTCTTAACTGGTGGGATGGGGTTGTGCTGTTAAATACCAATACTATACTATACTACATGTATAGTAGTAAGAAATGGTATGAAGTTTATGGATTTCTTTTCTAAATAATTTTTTTAAATTAAGGGGGAAAATGGGGCACTTTAAAGAATCTTTGGAATGCCTAGATGAATCCCTTTTTATAGGACAGATGAACCAAGTAGACTCGGAGGTTGTTTAGGAGTTTGAACTAAATCCTCTTTGATGTCTTTGACAAAGCTGTGTGATTCCTTGATAGCTTTTTGTATTTTCTCTATGGCGTTTACAATGTTATAATCATGTATACTTGAACTCAACGTTATTTGGCTGTATTTAATGTAATTCCTTTCATAGTTTGTGATTTCGAATGATTGATTTGTCTTTTAGTGTTTTAATAATGTTGAAGCCATGCTTTATGATTATTTTTCAAAGTGAAATTTACTAGTGTAATATAGTGACCTTCACTGCTTACCATTCTTACTTCTCACAGGGGTAAAACCAAGCTGGAGCCATCAAGAGTGCAGCTCTGGTGTTTTTTAACCAGACAGAGGCTCGTGCCATCACTTTTACCCAGGTTACCCAAGCAAGTTGTACATATATAACTATAATCAGTTTCTAAATGAATTTTGACTGGCCTGCATGTTACTCAGCTACATTCCTTGCCCATCCATTGGCAGTAAAATAAAAATATGCACAGCTGCTCTTATGCTGAGTCATATAAAGCATGGTCAGGCAAGTCTGGCAACCCTAACTTTAAAAGAAATGATTTAGTTGCTAATCTTCTTACATAGATTTTAATAGAAACTATATTCAGTGAAAAGTAAAAGTGCATGCCTTAATGGATTATTTAGTTTCCATTTAATGCTACGGTTTTGAACGTGCTAAGGGCTTATAGGAGAAATGTAGGTGCTCTTTGAAAAACTTGCAGAAAAGCTTTCTCTCCCGTTTTTTTTTTTTTAATATAGCCTCAGTGGGTGTACTTTGTTCGTAATTTTTGTTCAGTGTCATATTAAATATTTCTGAAGGGTAATCTGCAAATCAAAGCAATTCCTTATTCACATGTAAACTGCCTAAAAGGTATTTTAATGTGACAATAATGTAAATGAATTGGAATGTTTCTATTTTAGTTGCTAGCAGCATGAGTATAATTTTTATCTGCTTCATTTTGAAGAAAATGACATTGCTTTATTTAGCAATTGGCCAAAAGTGTTTTAAATTTAGAATATGATTCCCTGGGAGATTCTGTTGATATTTACCCCTAAAACTCCTAGGACTGAAAGAAAAGGAAGTAAATGCCTTTTGTACACCAAAAAAAATTTAAAAGTAAGATGATCATCTTTTAGGTGATGTGTTCATCTGAAAATAGATCTGGAATCCAACTTCTTCATTCTGTTGTTCCTCTGTCCTTTTCGGTTCTTTTTTCCCCCTCTATTTCACCCAAACCTGCTGGGAAACTTTCTCCTGAAGAATATTATTTAAATGTATCATGCACTGCAAACTCTTATATAGGTAGAGAATCATTGTGAGCTCTTTCAGTGTTTTGGAATGATAGGACCTTCCTTGTCATGTGACCATGGCAATGAGTATAACCCTCTTTGGGGTCCATTAGGTGGACCTTTGCATTTCCTGATGTTGAAATCATAGTTTTGTGCTCAAATATGTTAACAAAATTGCTTAGTGCAATTTAATTATTTTTCCAGAAATATTAATTAAATATTTTGTCATTTAGGTGCAGTTTCCTATTCTGCCATTAACTTTAGAACAAACCTACCATAAGCATATTTGGCTCTTTGGAAAGGAGCAATGATTATGTCATTCTTGTAGCATTCTTTCATACATTGGAACAAAATATTCAGTCTTTGGCACTCTAGACTCATGGAAGGTAATGCTTTAAATATTGGAGGAATGATGTGACATGGGATCCAAGAGATGTAGTTGCTCACAATGAAACACAGATACACATATACACAGAGACTAGAGAGATTTTTTTTGTCCTATAATGTATTCATTCTTCAGGAAAATGTGGGATTTGACTCCTTATGATAATGGCTTGTTTTTCCCAGTCTCTTGGGAAAAGGGAAGGTTAGTTTCATTATTTTCTGACTATTCCATTCATCAACTTCTTATATAAACAGGCGTACAAGGAAAGTGATTATCAGATATATTACCTATTGGTTTATTTAGGAGATTTAACTGGAGTACGTATAAGGGAACACAAAGTAGGCAGAAACCAGTTTAAATTGACTCCATTTATTCTTAGCTCTCACATTATTATCATTTTCAATTTCCTTGAATATGTCTCTTATCCTCTCTCAGGAAACATTGTCTGCTCCCTAAAAAAAGTATCCTAGTTTCCAGTTCACGGGGTGGGAAGAGGGAAAAAGATGGGAGAGAGGTCTGGGGGGATAGGTACAGTAAGAACCCATGTATTATTTTCTCCTGGAGAATGTTTAGTCCTCAAGGGAAAGTTTTCCAGTAGGATAGTAATTAAGGGAGAAAAAGGCTCTTAATATCCTTCATGTAAAAACAAAATGGGCCAAACATGTGTGTGTCTTTGGGGCACTCTATATCTGTGGAGGGGTAGGCCAGCATGATATAAGGGTTACTTTTGCCACACCAAGAAGGATATTTAAAATCCAATTTATGGTTTAGAAAATTGTGTAATGTATCCTTTATAAAGACAAAAATAATTTCTGGGTAATGTAGTATAATGCTAATGATACTTTTGATTTTGCCATCTTCCTCATTAAGACAACAACAGTCCCTAATTGGTATTAAGGTGCCACTTCGGCCTTAAGCTTATCCCAAAGCAAGAACGATTATAACTTTCATGAAAGTGTCATAATAGTGTTAAGGTTTGTCACGGAAAATAACCCAGAGCTCCTTAAATATAAATTCTAATTAAGATCCATGTGGAACAAAGGATTGCCGTTTTGGGGGGCCAAAATCTTTAAATATGAAATGTTTGATTTAAGCTATGTTTGAGGCTATTTCTTTCTCTAAAATCCCAATTCCTTTCATTGAATCAGAGTAGAATATACATCTTTTTCTAAATTATATACAATCTTACTAATTATATTTTCTTAAAAATGTATCTCAATTTTATAATGAGAAACAAGTGTGCCTGTGAAAAAATAGCAAGTTTTCTCTCCCTTTTTCTGTTGTGATTTTTTTAGTTTTTTATTTATTTATTTTGAGAGAGAGAGAGAGAGAGAGAGCGAGCAGAGGAGGGACAGAGAAAAAGAAGGAGAGAATCCCAAGCAAGTTCCACCCTGTGAGCACAGAACCAGACATGGGGCTCAGTCTCGTGAACCGTGAGATCATGACTTGAGCAGAAATCAGGAGTCAGTTGTTAACCAACTGAGCCACCCAGGTGCCCTGTGATTAATTATTTTTAAAAGTAATTTTACTTTCTGAAAGAAAGACTAGTAGTTTGGCACACCAATGTTTAATAGTAATTTATCAATGATATGGAAAGTAAAAGAGATACAATGTTTAAAAATACAAAATGCAATATTATGTACTTTGATATTTATTTATTAGATAATTTAGCAAAATATGATTCTGTCCAGCTTAACTCCTACAAAAATACAGAAGATTTTCAATGGGAAGAGCCCTGTAATATGAGGTTTTCATTAAAATAAATGTTCAAGTAATATTTCCACCTGAAAGTAAATTATTGCCTATGCTACTCATAGCAAGTAACGATTGGCTATTCCTGTTTGATCTCTTTGATCCTGATATTAGAGTACATCATATTTTATTTAAATGTAACTAGGCAGGGTATCCTAATAATACTATTCAGTTCATTTATTTCCTGAAAAATAAGAACAAAAAATAAAAAGGGAACCTAAACAACCAAATTTTACAAGTTTTAATATAAAACTTGTCAAGTATAGAACTTGAAAGTATAGAACTGGTTCTATTCCTAGCCAATTCATATTTTGGTCTCTTACTCATATGGCATTTTGCAGTAGATGATGCCTAGTTTGGAGCATTTAAAAGCAACTTTTATTTGAAAATTCTTAAAGTACATGAGTTCTAATCATTCCATATAATGATGTATATTTGACAGTTCTATTTAATGAATTTGTACCATAGTTAGGATTTATTGTAATTATGACCATATCTGAAGCTGAAGAGTTTTATAGTCTTAGTTTGGTTCCTTTCATTTTTATGGACTCTTTACACATTTTAACTGTTCGTCAACATACTTTATATTATGATATTTGCCTCTTACGTAATTTTAAGAAAGTCATTGAATTGATGTTATCAAGAAAGACTTTATAAATCACAGTTTCTTGCCTACATCTCAGTACTATTGTTGAAAGAAAACTTTTTGTTCATTTAATATTCCAATGAGTATTTAGTTCTACTCTACACTAATACTTATAAGAATGTAAATATAAATTGAACTAATACTAATTTCATAGTCATGAAACTTAGGAATCAGTAATATCACAAGCACTATCTCGAACCTACAACATTTAACTATGTATCACGTCTACTAAATATTTTACATTGATAAAGGTTGGTTTTCCTTATGAATCATCAAAATATTCTCTAGAAAATTCTGGTAAAATGGGGTACAGAAGATCTAGAGTCCAGCTACTGACTCACTATAACTTTTGACAAGATAATTAAAGCCACATTTCTTTCTCTAAATAGACACTGGATTGGTTGACGTTGAGGAATAATGTACAGCTTAGATTCTTTATTTGTAAGCCAGGTGAAGTAATGCATGTGACAGGTGGACCCCATGCTGGTCCACATCAGAGGGAAGATGGAGAAGGATGAGATTGCCTCTCCTTAAAAAGGTTCCGTTCACCAGTGGGACTGCAGATCCACTTACATCGTCAAGTCAAAAGAAGGAAAACATTGTCAGAATGATTCAGTATTATTTTACTAATTCCAGAGTTAAACTATAGTTTTCTTCATATACACATTTTAGGCCTGAATAATTGAAAGCCTGATGTTGAGACAGCACCCCTAATTCTAAAAGTTGTTGGCCATTATTTACACAATTCAGAATCTTAAAGGATTTGTGTTATTCTGCACATAAGTGTGAATATTATTTGTATTCCCTCGATGTGAAAGTATTTACTAGGAGATGTCAGAAGTAGTTACTGACAGAATAAAAGAGTCCATGCACTGTTTATTTATTCATTTATGCAACAAACATCTATTAAACACAAACATTGGTGATAGGTACTAGGGACACAAAAATGGCAAAAGTAGTATCTTTGCTTCAGACGATTAAGTCTGGTTATATACGTCTTCTAGAGACAAAACACTTTCATGGTGCACTTATGAAAAAGTAGTAACCTGACCTTTAAATACACAAATATTTAGCTCAGTAAAAAGACGTTACTTCTATATCAGTACTAAGGAACTGCACTAAATGAAAGAAGTGATAGTTTATGTTACAGGGATCCTCTGAAACATTTCAAACCAAGATCCACTGGAATTTATCTGATGACTTCTTCCAATCACTGTCAAGACCTAATCTTCATTTTGTTATGGAGAAGTCTATTCATTCATTCATTTTTTAAACAATATTTATTGAGTACCTGCGACATACCCAGCACTGATGTGGACTGTGGTACAGTCACTCACTAATGTGTGGAGTACCCTGAATATGGATCTTCATTTTTCCCTTGGGCTCATCCCTAGGTCTTTCCCCAATCTGTATTTACAGTGTTATCCTTTTTCCTAAAACGAATGTATTCCATTTCTTATTGTGGGCTGTCTGTAGTTAGATCAGTTCTGACTAAGCTTCAGTTTTTCTGATTATCTATGTCATGTTTCAACATCTTACAAATGATAAGATCAGTATCTTTAGGTCCCTAATATGTAACAATTTTATGTGAATCAGATGGATTGGAATGAGACAATAATTTGGTCATTTCTTAGTCAATTGTATATAAACAGAGCTATACTTATCAAAGCCAAAAGACAAAGGATAGGAAATTATACGCAGTGTAAAGAATTAAAATATGTGCAATAAATATTCCCACTTTGCCATGTCATCTTAAACCAAAATATATTCCGATTGTAAGGACAAAGATATCATGATTATCTGTTTAGTATTGTGACACATTTGGTGAGCAGAAAAATAATTCAACAAATTTCAAGCATTTTATAATATATAATACTTGATTTAATGTTTTGGTCAAATTAAAAAACAATCCTGAAACAGTTCTAAGAAGATAGACTCACATCTAATATTTATGCTTCTATCATTGATATTGTTAAATTACACAAAAGCATTTTCAATCTCATATGTATCACATATAAGTAGTTGTAATTCATGAGCATCGCCATGCCAAGAAAATATTTTGTATAAAGAAAATTATTTTCATAAATTAAAGGAACCATCTTCCTGGGGCAAATCCATATAATCCTTAGCTCAAATATGAGTAGAGTATCTCTAGTACTGACTACAATACCCATTTTATAGTAATTTAACATACTTCAATGTGCATTTTATCATGTGCTTACCTCATCCCCTTTATAAAGTAGTCTTATCAGCTCAGCCATTTCCTAATGTTATGCACTAATGGTAATAACATTGTAACAGGTCCGAGAATGCTATGGCCCAAACTACTCTGATTCCATGTGGCACTCATACCTGGCCCTGTGTCATTCCTGCAGCATTTTAAGACCAGATTAAAGACTGGGATACCTTCCTTTATGCTGATCCTTTGAACACCCTAACCTGACTAAAGTTTGGTGGATTTCAAGATTTAAAACAACTTCTTCCTATTATATTTTTCTTTTGGTGGTATTTGATGTAGCCTAAAGGAAACCAAAATGACTACCAGAGATTCATTTCTCCCTGTATCAACAGGACAGGTGAGAGTGCCAGAGTAACAAGTAGTTTCCAAATGCACAATGAAACTCAGGAGTGCATTGGCCAAAGAGAATGCAAAATACCAGCTCTTGCTATAAAGCTAACAATGTGCTGCTCTTTTCTGAGTAAAAAAACTATAGAATATATTTAATAACAACTAGTGGTATATGTTTTCATGTCAATGAAAAGTGGATAAATTTAGATTGTTGCTGTTTATGTGCATTTGATCAAATCTTTTCTGTATTTGACATGAAAATACACTTGTGCAGCTTTCGTTGGTTGGGTCACAATTTTAGAATAAAACAAACTATACCATTTGCAAGCTAATTTACAAAAGCAAGATCACAGATGACCATGTGACTCTGGTGGCTTACATAAGCTCTCTCCAGGATTTTGTTTCAGTATCTCTACATGTGTGCTTAATCAAAAATTATTTAAGTTGTTAGCACCATATTTTTAAAGAAAAAAAATCTGCTGTGGTGCTACCTCTAATCTTGTGACCCCCACCTCTACTAAAGCGGACTGGCATTATGTTTAAGATATTCTTAAATTACAGATCAAGGAAATTGCATACAGAAGACTTGAGGGCACGCCTTTTGAATTTTTATATTATAGATTAAAGAAAATATTTTAAAAGCTTTTCTGTGGAATTGATTTTCAGAAGCTAAATGCAACTAGTTCATCTGAAGGCAGCACAGTTGATATAGGAGCTCCCGCTGAGGGTGAGCAACCTGAGGTAGAACCCGAAGAATCCCTTGAACCTGAAGCCTGTTTCACAGAAGGTAAGTGGAACCATGCATATGAGCTCATTGGACCCCTCTTACCAGTCTCTGTCTCTACCCTCCAATCATTTATATCTATCTAGTAGCTGTTCATTTACTTTTTTGATTTTTTTCTTTTTCTGTATCAAAACAAAGATACGTTTTTGTAAGGTAAGATTTAGTTTATGTAATCAGACACGCTTATATTTGTGCATCCTGTTCAACTAAGAAATGCTCCTAAGTCTATGGGTGTTTTGGTAGCCTTCTAGAATATCTAATCAGGGAGAAAGCCAAATCAAGCATATCTCTCTTTAGCTTTAAAAAAAAAAATTAAAGGAAACAAATTTTAAGTCAAAGAAGTAATTTATTGTGCACTGTTTTATCAGTTTACAATGGGTACTAATTGATAAGTATATATTTAAAACTGTCCATGATTAATGGTTACTTGCATCTGTCAAGGTCAATTTCTTATTAGTTCTGAATGTTAGTAGATAACAGATAATGAAGTGCCAAAATATATTGAGTTATATAATATAAGGCACCATGCCACTGGGGCATACCAAGAGGACTTTCTGAAAAAAGCTAAAATTATGTTATTTGAAGTATGAATCAGTTATTTTCTGAACAGTAATGCTATATATCAAACAGCCCAAAACTTCTTAGCATTTAACCAAAAAACATACTTTTGCTCACAAGTCCAAGGCCAGCTAGATGATTTTGCTGATCTTGGATAGGCTCTCTTCCAAACCTGAGGTCTTAGACGGACTGTTGGGCTGCCTCAGCTCTGCTCCACTCATCTCGTTCTCCACATAGTGGCCAGATATGTTCTAGTGGTGAAGGCACAAGAGCAAGAGAGGAAACCTGCCAAGGACTGGTCAAGCCTCCTCTTATGTCAGGTTTGCTCCTGTCCCGTTCACAAAAGCAAAGTTACCTGGCCAGTCCAGAGTGTGAGGGAATGCACCACTAATGATACAAAGAGGCAGAAAAATTAGTACAATAACACAAGATACGAAATTCTTCACCTTTCTTATATAAATTTCTATTGTAGGTACAGAAACGTTTCTCTAAAACCCTGGAAATCACTTCATGTTTAACTCACTTTTTAGTTAACAGCTATTTAATAATGCATGCCATGTCTTAGCCTCAAATCAATACTATATTGTAATTGCTTAAGTAAAAATTTGTTTTAAAAATAGTGACTGCCTCAAATTGTTACTAGTAATGCAATTTTGTTACAACTAATTCCAAATGTGTTTCATTTGGGTTATGTGTGTTTACATTAAGAACACTAAAACTAGAACGCCTGCCTGGTTCAGTTGGTTAAGCTTCTGACTCTTGATTTTGGCTCATGGTCATGATCTCACAGTTCATGAGATAGAGCCCCGCATCAGGCTCTGCACTGACAGGGTGGGACCTGCTTGGGCTGCTCTCTCCTCTCTCTTTGGCTCTCTCGCCTCCACCCAGCTCTCACACCCCCATGCATGCATATGCGCATTCTCTCTCACAATAAATAAACATTAAAAAAAATAACATTAAAGCTATTTTAATTTAAACTTTAAGCTAATTTTTAGCATATGTAATTACACAGACATTAGAAATCACAATTGATGTTGGATTCTTTCAAGGTGTATTACAGAAGATTATGTTGCATATACCTATTGATTTGGGACTTATATGCATTGGTAAAAATAAATACTTAAATATTAATTGTCAATTCTTAAATAACTTCAGAGGGAAGGCTATTTGTTCAGCCTAAGTTATGAGGGAAGTAAGTCACTTTTTGCTATTTTTCTCCAAAAAGTCTGCATACGTTCCAGTGTTACTTCATTATGAAAAAAATATATGACTTCACAAAACATTCAATTATTGTGAAAATTCACAATAATTCAAGTGGTATTTCACAAACATAATTTCTGTGGCATTCGTTTTTACTCTTTACCAGACAATTAGCTTATTTTTTGAGTTACAATATATGCATATATACTGCAATAATAAGGAAATAATATGTAATCATGGAATAATAACTATGATACTCTCAACATTTGTCATTTGTGAAGCTTAAAAACATTTAAATATGAAATATTATGAAATACGTTCTATATAGAATATAGAGTAACTTCACATTGTAGAAAATGATAAATAATATATAGATGCCCACCAACCAACTTTAACAATTTGAATACTGTTATCATATTTGCTTAAGACTTTTTATTTAAGAATAAAACAGATACAGACTAGACCCATTTTATTCTCCTTCCTTATCCCATTTTCTTCCTTTTTTCTCAGAAATAAGCCAATGTCTCAAATTCGGCATTTATCATTCCCACTAAAATCAGTCTTTTTCTGTTAAACTGGTTTTTTCATCTCATATTCTCTTTAGAGAAAAAAAAAACAACACCTAAATTTAGTTCTATTTACTTTATTACAATGAATATTTTCAGGTCATGTAAATCTTCTTGATCTTTTGAGAAACAGAAATATGAAAAAGATCTTGCCCTCAAAGAAACAACAAATATAATGCTATTTATTTCTTAGTTGAGAGGCTAATAACAATGTGCATCATTAAATTTTCATGAAACAAAGGCTATGATCTGGCTGGCTGGCATTATAAAGTAGCATCTGATAAATATCTATACAGTAAAATATCTGCTCTTTTCAAGATGAGGTTTCCATTTTTCTATTCATTGATCCAGAGCCCTCTTCCTGGTTAAAACCCTATGTCATGACTCATCTGTCTCCCACGCCCCAGCATCCTGCTGTGTGTGTGCTGTCAGATCCCATCACTCCGCCTTATTTCCTGATGCCTGACCACCATCACCACGCTTACCTTGTTTTTACTTTCTTAGTGTTCAGTTGATTGAATTTCAACTTCTTTCTTCTATCCATTCAGTCCCTTGTATAGGTAGAGATCATTCTACACCCATGTTCTTACCATGTCCATCTTCATAACTCCCAAATAAATCCTTCAATGTTTTACTCGTAGACAGCATATAAAATCTAAATTCTCCAACTGACTCATTCAGGTCCCTTTTTTAGATTGACTCCTAACTGTCTCCTTTATGCAACTTCTAGGTCTGTTATTAAGTTTTATTGATGCCATTGTTTCTCCATTCTTTTACAGCTCCTGTACTAGACCTGATTCTTACCTATCCCTCAAAGTCTAACCCGAAATTCATTTTGTCTACAAAGCTCAATATCAAAAATTAATCTGACCGATCAGTTCTCACAACACTTTATTTAATTTGTGATATTATTTATTTTCTGTGACTATAGAATTTGTGAGCAAAACTCCTGTACTTAAAGTGCACACTTTTTGTTAAAGAAAAGCTATGTTGGGGCGCCTGGGTGGCGCAGTCGGTTGGGCGTCCGACTTCAGCCAGGTCACGATCTCGTGGTCCGTGAGTTCAAGCCCCGCATCAGGCTCTGGGCTGATGGCTCAGAGCCTGGAGCCTGTTTCTGATTCTGTGTCTCCCTCTCTCTCTGCCCCTCCCCCGTTCATGTCTCTCTCTGTCCCAAAAATAAATAAACGTTGAAAAAAAAAATTTTTTAAATAAAAAAAAAAAGAAAAGCTATGTTTACACGTTCTAGTTATTGTAATTTGTCCAGTACAATTCCTTGAATGCTGCAGATATTCAATAAATACTTGTTGTCAAGCCTTGATAAACTATAACTCAGTATGTTTATATACACAAGTTACACAAAGGTGTTTACGGCATTGTTGCTGATAATAGCCAGAATTAAAGCAACATATTCAATAATAGTGGAATAATTTTATGGATTCTGGTTAAGTCTGGTAATCTTATTTAGAGAAGTATTTTGAAAACTTTCACAGTTCTATTTATTTGTAAAAAAAAAAAAAAGCAAAATGTATATATTATGCCATGAAATGAACTACTTAGAATTCAAATGTCCATATATAAATGGAATTACACTCATAAGATGATAAGATGGAAATATCAACTTTCGGTGATTTTATTTTTCCTTCTGTTTTTCTATATGTTTTTATGATGTAATATAACCCATAATAATAATCACATAAACATAAAAAAGTATTTTTGAATGAATGATTTAAAAACTATACAGATGACTTCTGTTTGCATGAGTGGAAGCCATCTTTAAAAAATAGTTAGGTGCAATGTATCAGGTAATAATTTAGAAGAGGTTCCCACCAACACAAAGGTACATAATCCAAGAGTAATTCTCTTTTCTTCATTTACTTTGACTTATTGTAGACTGTGTACGGAAGTTCAAGTGTTGTCAGATAAGCATAGAAGAAGGCAAAGGAAAACTCTGGTGGAACTTGAGAAAAACTTGCTATAAGATAGTGGAGCACAACTGGTTTGAAACCTTCATTGTCTTCATGATTCTACTCAGCAGTGGGGCACTGGTAGGTGACATATGACCTGCGCCTTTTCCTTTACCTGAAACTCTTCAAAAACCTCTTACAGGTTTTTAAAATCCAGTGCTTGTGAAGTAAGAAACATTGTGCGATATCCCTAGCACAGTGTGAGAGGCTTAGGAAATAGCCATTTTTATTGTTGTGGAATAAGTCTCAGATTGAATCAGGCCAAGTATGGTTTCTTGTAATATTTAAAGAAAGGTACTTCTGACTTTTAGTCATCAGAGGTAGTTCTTATAAAGAGTGATTATGCAGACATGATATGGGATTATCAGGTGAGTATCAAACTGCTTAACATAAACTCCATTTTGCAGGGAACTCACTTGTCTTGTTTGTGCGGATTCACTAGTGCCAATCACAGTGAATGACAAATAGTAGACAAACTTAATTGCTGACTAGTAGCAAAGTGAAAGCATTACAACTTAATTTATATCTGATTTCACTCAATGGAAGGGTCAGTTTGGTCAAGATATTAATTAATATATGAAAATCGTGTGACCTGTTTTCCCATTTGGTGATACAAATGTGGCTGCATTTCTTTTATTTTTTCAGTTAGTCACTACCGTGTTTGGTGAGTGGATTTCATTAGGGGGATTATAGTGTTGTAAGTGGAGGCCTCTAACCCTGCCTCTGATTTGACTAAGAATCCGGCATCCTGCCATGTACTTGAGCAAAGAGAGCCAGCCCTGCGTTTTTCATGCCAATAAGGAGGGAACTCTGAAGTCTCACCAGTAACTAGTGTCTTCGCTGTCTTAGCTCTTGGTTCTCAGTCATACCCAGTCAAATCTCCCCAAAGTGCACTAACATGCTGACACAATGGCTGGCTTCTGGGGCGCTTCCAGCTTCAGCTGTAAATTGAGCTCAAAAGACTTTAGGTCCTTGTTTTGAGCCCTGGTTGCAAGCCCAGATCCCCTTTTCTCCGAAAAGAAAAATATTCTTTTGTCCTTAATCCAGACCACCAAGTTATCCTGATAGTTTTTCCTATAAGGGGATTGAGTTAGATAAGTGGTCTTTTCATTCCAGAACACCCAAAGGCTCCTGAAAAGGAGTTCCCCAACCTTTCCCAAGAGCTCTGCAAAATGACACAGGGATGGGAAGAGGGAGCTTCCCAAATACACACCACACATGTGCCCAGACTGAGCAAGAGAAATAGAGTGGAGAAAGTGATAAACCTCTGTCCCTCTTTCTCCAGGTTGGGTGGGGAGAGGGGGCTCCTTGCCTTACATTCGCATTACTGAGAGAATACATTACAGTGCACTGAACAAAGCAGATCTACTCACACTTGATTTTCTCCCTCCTGCTGTGGAGAGATGGACCTGACAGTCGCAAAATTTTTAAGCTCTTTGAGATACCCTGATACCCTAATTTAAAAATTATTTTAATTCATTGGCTGACTGAAATATGCAGCCAATAGTCATTGCATACAGGTAACTATAAAGCAAAATGCCACTATGGGAAATGGGAAGAAGCCTTCCAGACTTAAGCACCTGAGTAGAGGCTTGCAGCATGGTTTTCCTATTAAGACATCAATTAGAGACGGTTTATGACAATGAAATTCATTGGAATTTTTTCACTTACAGGCCTTTGAAGATATATATATCGAGCAGCGAAAAACCATTAAGACCATGTTAGAATATGCTGACAAAGTTTTCACTTATATATTCATCCTGGAAATGCTTCTAAAGTGGGTTGCGTATGGTTTTCAAATGTATTTCACCAATGCCTGGTGCTGGCTAGATTTCCTCATTGTTGATGTGAGTATTCTGCACTTTCTTGTTTCATCCCATTGGCGTGATATGATAGTTCTAGCAATGGTGCCTGGCACATAGTAGGCACTCAGTAAAAATTTCATGTATATATAAATGATGGTTCCCATTTTCCCAATGAGAATCTACCCCAAAATGTTTTTTTGCTGATTTAAATTCAGATACTTTCATAGGTGAAACAGTCAAATGCTGCCTTACTTTACCTACTGATTTAGTTGCAAATTAATATTTAAATCCCAAGTTACACAAAATATATTAATGTAGAAGTTTTGCTTTTCTCGTTCTTACCTTTGACAGAATTACTGTATTTAAATTCCTCACAGTTATCTTTGACGTTAGTATTTTTGTCATCATCAGAGCGTCTTGAGAGGTGTTTGTCCCAAGATGGATTACTAATTACAAGGAAACTTGAAAGTCAAAAAAGCAGGAGACACTTCTTGATTTGTGGGATGATTGAAATAGATTGGCTGTGGGCCAATTATTTCAGAGTTGTATTAAACTGCCCTGGTGTTGAAAATAAAGGTGGAGTACCAGACTATAAAAGTCTTTAAAAAAATTGAATAGGAAGTTGCTCTCTGGTTTCCGAGGGAGTATAGATCTCACTTTTTATTCACAAAAGAACAAAAGAAATAAAAATCATTTTCCTTTAGTTCCAGAGACTTACTTCTTAAATGCCTTTTAAATCAGTAGTCTATGCATAATGGGTAAAAAGAAGTTTAAAGGCCTTTTCTCTAGAAAAGACTAGGCAAGTCAGTGGGGACAGGGGACAGGCACATGGGGGAGGTGACAGGATGATGTTCACAGCCAGCAAAGGAGGAGAACTCTGGAATTTGCAGGAAAGCACAATGTGCTAAATACTGCACTTTGAAGATAATATTCTGTTGATTGTAATTCCTTGGAATTAAATTTTTTTTTAACGTTTATTGATTTTTGAGAGACAGAGAGAGACAGAGCATGAGTGGGAAAGGGGCAGAGAGAGGGAGACACAGAATCGGAAGCAGGCTCCAGGCTCCTAGCTGTCAGCACAGAGCCCAATGTGGGGCTCGAACTCACAAACTGTGAGATCATGACCTGAGCCAAAGTCGGTTGCTCAACCGACTGAGCCACCCAGGCACCCCTGTAATTCCTTGGAATTTAAAGACATATTTTTAACTTGAAATATTTTGATATATAAAACTTGCATATCATGCCAGTAAAAACAACAAAAAAGGACCCTTTCATGAAGAAAGTTATTTTTTATAGTTTCAAATGAAAGAAAAATCAACTTTTAATCCAATATAAACTTTCTAATCACCAAACAGAAGAAAAAATTATGAGACAAAGAGAGTTCTTTGAATTTAAGGTGGAAAATATCCTTGTTATATATTTTTTCCTAATCTGCCTAAAGCAAATCCACTATTAAATGTAATGTATAAAGTCTTCATGCAGAATTACATCAAAAGTTTTCTGGCAATATAGGAAGACAATAAAAAAATACTTAAAACCACATTTGATTGGACAGCACACAATGAAAAAATATACCAAGACTATAACCTTTGATTTGTATAATGGGATTATGGATGATACTTTTCCTTTTCTTTATTTTCTGTATGTGGTTATGATACATTGGTAAATTTATAATAAAAATATATGCCATTTAATGTGTCTGTGTAATATTAAAGCATTAAATCAATATGACCTGAATATAAAGAAATTCTTAGGAGAAATCCAGTTGTCCTGCAGCTGATGCTCATATTACTGAGCATATCCTGATATTTACCCTCTTAAATTTAAGAAGACTTCTTGGGGCATCTGGGTGGCTCAGTCAGTTAAGCATCTGACTTCGACTCAGGTCATGATGTCACAGTTCCTGAGTTTGAGCCCGCATCGGGCTCTGTGCTGACAACTCAGAGCCTGGAGCTTGGTTCGGATTCTGTGCCTCCCTCTCTCTCTGCCCCTCTGCTGCCCGCCCTCTCTCTCTCTCTCAAAAATAAATAAACGTTAAAAAAAAACTTCTTAAGACAATATGTGAAACTCATCAATACCTTGCTTTATATCAAATATATTATTGATCTTCTGTTTTGTTATGAAAGTTACAAATGTGAATGTCCTTTTTCTAGCTTCTGGCTTGAAGTCGACTAATGAGGACAGATATATATACAATGAGAAGATGATGTTGGTATTAGAAGTGCTGTTCACTTCACTAAGGAAGGGGGAAAGGCTTTGTGAGGTCAGCACAATGTAAGCTGGAGTTTGAGAAATGCGAGCGTCAGCAGGTATAGATAAGGGGAGGGACGCCAAAGCGTTAAAATACTGATGCATACCAAGCAGGGCCTGTTCAAGAAACACATAACACTAGAGGGTAAGAACAGTGCCACAGGGTGAGGACAAATGTATTGTAGTTGGATGATGACGTAAGAAAGGTAAGTTTGAGAAGTGTTTAAAGTATCTGAGATGCCATCCAAAGAGATACGGAAGCCCATAAAGCATTATCTATGGAAAGTAACACAAAAAGCTTGCTCTACTAGAGAGAGAAGTGTGGTGGGGTAGTGCATGATTGAATAGAAAGGGGATAATTTAGAGGCCAAAAGACCAATTAGTAGATTGCAACAGAAAGATGAGAAAGCCTGAATGTATCTCCTTCTCACATTTCACTACACAAGTCACATAAAATTGGGTAATTTACCATTTCTTTTAATTAGCCAATAAATATTGTCCCTGTTCAGAATTTTTTTCTTATGCCCTACTTTTACCTTTCATTCTTTAATTTATGCTTATTTCTTTTGGATTCTGTCTTCAGGGAAGATTAAGTAGTCCAGGGCCTCATATTTTATATGCAGAAAATCTTCACAACGAATGACAATTCAGTAACTTTAGTTTTCAATTATCTGTGAAGAGAGGGCTCACAAAGGCTAAAAGTTTAGATTTTAGGAAAAATATGTAAACCACTTAAGATAAATTTTTGTAGCTCGATTTTTGCCAAATTTAGAGGTTTTGTTATTTCACATTTCATGTGCCAAATTACTTTGAATAAGTTTTGTTGGAAAAATTTTCTGTGTACTTCATTTATTTTTTTAAAAAATATTTTTTTCAAATACCATTTACACTATGCTCTTAAAAGTTATATTACACATCTATTTTTATTTATTGCTTTTGAAATTCAAGTGCCATTTAGAAAAAATACTTTTTCTTAGATTATGTAGTTTTAATGAGTTTTCTATGTACTTTCAAAGGAAATCAGACATTTCTGTGCCACCAATAAGAGTTGTTCTTTTCCTTTTTAGTTGAGATTTTAGAACTTCTATCAACTACATTAATTGTCTGTATAAATGACCCAAAAAATATTGTTCTGGCAATTTCTAATTAGTCATACTAAAATCTCAATTTTTTAAGAGGGTTATTTTTATTTTTATTTTTTAAAGTTTATTTATTTATTTTGAGAGAGGGAGCAGGAGGGGCAGAGAGAGAGGGAGAGAGAATCCTGTCAGTGCAGAGCCCGAGATGGGGCTTGAACCCACAAACCATGAGATCATGACCTGAGCTGAGATCAAAAGTCGGATGCTTAACCAAATGAGCCATGCAGGCACCCCCTGAAATCTCAATTTTTCTTTTTTAGTTAATTATTTTAATTTGACGTAATTAATGGTTTTATGCCCTCGTAATGAAGTTGACACAAAGACAAAGCCACTATTTAGAGGCCTAGATCTTTCTGAGTGTGTTTGTGCTCAGATTCACAAGTGGTTTATGTACTTCACCTGTGTACTTGCACTGTTTTAACCTTCTTCCTTGAGGGTGTGCTAAATAGAATTTTACAGATCTGTAGATGAAGATTGCACTTCTGTGGTATTCTGTTTCTTGTTTTACATTTGATTAAAAAAAACTGTTCTTGTCAAGAATCTTGAAAAGAGAACATGTATAGCTTCTTCTTTCTCGTAAGTTTATGGCAGTAGTTCTCAAAGTATGGCTGACAGACCAGTATCTTTAGCCTTACCTGGGAACTTGAAGAAATGCACATTCTCAGGCCCTACCCCAAATCTGCTGAATCAGACTCTGCCTGCCAGCAATCTGTGTTTTCAGCAAGCCCTCCAGGTGATTTTGATACTCACTAGAGTTTGAGAACTACTGGTTTATTGCACAGAGCAAGATTGAACGGGGTAAGCATTTTTGTCTATAAATAAGAAAACTGTGTTGCTTTCTCATTGTTTGCTTTCTCATTGGTATAGGTCTCATTGGTTAGCCTGACGGCAAATGCCTTGGGTTACTCAGAACTTGGTGCCATCAAATCCCTCAGAACACTAAGAGCTCTGAGGCCATTGAGAGCCTTATCCCGGTTTGAAGGAATGAGGGTAAGAGCCACTGCTTTAGAAATTGCTGGAATTATAATTGAGAACAGACTGACATTTTCTACCTCAGAAATGACAAATCCATGGAGACTTTATGTCTTATACATCCATACTGATGTAACCAGTTGATCAATAAAACTTGTCAGATGTCCATAAACTTGACACTGTTGGAGACACTCACATAATAGAATGCCTAAGTGATTCCTTCTAATTAGAAACAATTAGACCGCTTCTAAGTAGATTTTTCACTCTGTGGGAAATCTGAATCATGTTGCATAGACTTCAAATGTGAGACAAGATTAGTTATGTTCATTCCATTTGTAAATGTGCAGGAAATTCCACTGACTGTAATTTAAAACCACCAAAGAATTCCTCATTTCTTCATTGCTCCTATGATGTGTTGTGAGTCTTCTAAAATCTGAATCTGGCCCTTTAGCTTTCAAACACAGGCTGAGGTGGCTGAAAAGTAGGCCAGCTGTGGAAATCTAACAGTCATTTAGAAAGGTGGTACACAGGGACAAGGAGGAATTTGTGTTGCCATTTGTCATCCCCCGGGGCACGTAACCTGAGAACACACACCCTCAGCACGGAGGAAATGATGACACCCTATCTCTGTGGATTTAGCTATTCCAAAAGAAACTCTTAGAAAATGACACTTTTTCTGATATTTGGAAATAGTTACTGGGGACTTCCTCTGAATGTTTCAGACATAACCAGAAATGAATGATGTGTGTAAGTGTGCGTGCTTGTGTGTTGGTGTGCGCATGGTTGCATAGAAAGGAATGGTTAGCTGTTAAATTATTTTCACTTTATCAATTTTAAATCAGTAGTAGTTTTAATTTAAGAAGGAGAATCAAACTGTCAGTACTAAAATAATTTTTCATATTTTCTATATCAAATTTGCATAGATAGTCCTTCCATACATCTGTCTTGGAAAACACGTGTGTTATTTCTTTGCTATCCAGTTTTGTGAGTGTGTGTGTGTGTGTGTGTGCACCTGCGTGTGTGTGTTTTAAGTTTTTTAACCAATATCATCTCCTCACATTTGCAGAGCATTCCTTGTAGTGAACTTAAAAATGAACTGTCAAGTCCACAAGTCCCTCTGACTTATTAGAGAGTTGAAATTCTAGTAGTAACTTAGTACTGTATTAAGTTCTTTTAAAGCTACTTTCATTTAAAAACACATTAAAATATTGTCCTTTACTGACTAGGCTCCAGGTGCCAATTTGCAGACGAATTGTGCCTTTTGCCAAGTACTCATTTGGTATTGTTGCTGTAAGATACCGTTACTCATATATTTATATGTATGTACGTATGTACTTTTTATACCATAAAGCATTTGAGGAAGGTTAATGCATGTATTTCTCATATTTTACATGTCTGTTCATCGATAAAGTTTATTTCTGGTGTAGGTTAGGTGCACTTGCACAGAAAAAGATATTTTGCTGAACACTTCCTTGAGAGATAATTTTAAAAAGTGCTGAAAAACGTTTCCTGGAAGTCCTAGTTAATTGAGAAAGCTGCAAGGAACAAAACCATTCAGTGAAGACCTTGGGATCAAATTGCAGTGTTTTATGACAATTTTCTTCTGAAAGGGATTCCCCAAAGGGAGATCAGAAAAATGAAATAACTTGCCCAAAGGTGCACAGCTAATTTGTGATGTAAACCGGCCCACAGATCTCCTGCCCTCCAAACCCTTTTCTCCCCATCACATGATCAATTTCCACGTTTCGATCTCTGCTCCAAAGTTTGCATGTGTAGGGAGAACCTAGACTACACTGCTTGGGACAGTCCTGGCTTATACTTGAGTTCCCAGAATAATTATTATTAGTGTTCCCTTTTGCCCTGGAAAATGACCCTCACGTGTTGTTCTCTTTTACTTTCAAATTGTGGATAATAAATTTTATGGTTTGCAAATTTTTAGAAATTGTGATATCCACATGGTGACCCTGCTTTTACAGCCACGTCACTATTTGCACCCCTAATTATTCTCCCCACTTAGAATTAGTTCCATTCTTTGATGAAAATGTGCCATGTGTATGTTCTTACCTCTTGAGAAAGCATTTCTACAATATAAAATTTATTTTATACTATTCTGAACTATAATTGTAAAGTTTGTTTTTTTTTTTTTTTTTTTTTTTTTTTTTTTTTTTTTTTACTGGAGCTGCCAGATACTGCAGATAGTTTCTGCCCAATATTTAACTTTAAGAACAGATATCTTTTCTTTCATTTGAATGCTGTTCTTTGAATAGTGTTTAAAATGGCTGTTGACTTTTCACTTGTTTTCCCTTCTCGTTTCTGTGCCAGGTTGTTGTCAATGCTCTTTTAGGAGCCATTCCATCCATAATGAATGTACTTCTGGTTTGTCTGATCTTTTGGCTCATATTCAGTATCATGGGAGTGAATCTCTTTGCTGGCAAGTTTTATCATTGTATTAACTACACCACTGGAGAAATGTTTGATGTAAGTGTGGTCAACAACTACAGCGAATGTAAAGCCCTCATAGAGAGCAATCAAACTGCCAGGTGGAAAAATGTGAAAGTAAACTTTGATAATGTAGGACTTGGATATCTTTCTCTGCTTCAAGTAGTAAGTAACCACTTTATTATTCTCTGTGATATCTTATTAACATGAGTTTGAAACCTCCCCCCTCAATATTTCCAAAAACGTATTTCTCAAGCTCGTCTGCCTAGATTCTTTCTAATCATTGCTGAACTAACTTTTCTGCACCATGTTGGAAACTGGAAAGCTCTACAAAGTTTACAGTCTTTCAGACTATGCATTAGGTACCCTAGAACCAGTCCCTTGTTACTGACATTGTTATGTAGGTTCCCACTGTTTTACCCCACCCCGACTCTGAGCAAAGTAGAGGCAGTGGCCCTAGGGTGGGGTTGGAAAAGCGTATGTGGGTAAGAGGAGGAGTGGTAGATCTCTGTACTCCTTGGCCACCAGACAGTACCAAACCCTCATCAAGTCTTCACCCACTTAACCTTCACCACCACCACAACCAAGCTTCCCCACCTTAACATCTGTCACACCAGTTCCCACCTTTCCTGCCTGCTGCTTGAACTCCTTCAGATAGGGAGATTGCTCTTCTGCAAATAAAAATCTTCCTATCAAGTTCATTATATCTGTTATAAATTCATAGACAATCTATCCCGCTTCTCAACTGACCACTCCCTGAGCTGATCCACCTGCATGATACCCGACACTGTATGAATATTAGGGGGAAGAACAGATTCTGTGGCTCTAAGGAACTGAAAAAAAATGTATAAGACTTTTGTTTTCAGGTTTGCTATGTCTGCAAAAAAACCATAAATATTTAAAAGAGTGCATTGCAGCTGAATATATTTGCTTTCCGACTAGGAAATTACTTTGTTTTATGGAATAATTGTCTTAAAATAGTATAATCAACAATATGTAGATTTTCGAGAATAAAGCATCATGATTCGTGATCGGTGAGAATACCATTTAGAAGAGAATAAGTAGAATGGAAAGCAGTATGATGAAGCAATGCAGCATATTTTTCATCTTGTCTGATGCTAGTATCATATACACCAAATTATTTTATCAAATTTTATGTTGTATTCTCATAGGCATATAAGAGGCAAAGGTTGTTGATAATTGCTTTTATGATAGCACATTGTTATAATCTGTCATGGCTTAATTATAGGTTTATAGAAGAACATAAATTTGAAGTATTTTCTATGATATTACAAACTTTGACCAGAGTTTAAAGACTAACCCCAAACTATTTTGTATACCTGTTTTTGAATGAATCTTGATCAATCCGATACTTAACTTTCTTTTCTAAAATTATAATTTGTGGGGGAGAAAAACTAAGTGGTCTGACTTTTTTACAGGCCACATTTAAGGGATGGATGGATATCATGTATGCAGCTGTTGATTCACGAAACGTAAGTCTGTTTAGAGGAAAAATTGTTTAATTTGATCCAGTGAATATTTCCACAGTGTTGTAATTTACTGGTAAATAAAACAATGAGTCAATTTATAGAAAACATCTATTTTACAAAAATAAAATATTCAACCTTGCATTATTTCTTCCAAAATTTGATTTGAATGTTTTTCTCTACTCGCTGTAAATCTTTTAACACGTCTTTTCTATATCTAGCATGACACCCAGCACTTAAAAACTTGTTGATTTTGCAAACTGAGACAATTTATTTTTGGCTCCGATAGTTCTGGCCATTTGTGTATTAGAAGCTCTTAACAAAGAACGCACTTCCTTTGTCTGTCACAGATTTCCTCCATCTTTTTATCTTCCTTGTAATAGAAGAATCTAATGGTGGAAAAACAAAACAAATCAAAACAAACAAAACTTTAGTGTTTCTCTCTGGGATGTGAGATTTTTGTGGTAGAAGGCAGGGGCCTTCACAATCTACTTTACACACCTCAACACTTTTGAAATTTTGTGTACACTTTTCATTAATTTTGTACTGTTTAACAAGGAGAAAGGAAATCACATTTTGGAAAAAAGAGATGGCCTTCTGGTATATTGCCGGAGCATAGCAATTAAACTCAAAATGTTACCTCCCTAGCACCAATAACCAGGTGGTCACTGAGAAAGAACTCCTGTGGGGTTTTTTTCACCTTATTAAAAAAAGAGAGAGAGAGAGAGCACAAGAACTAAAAGCACAGCATTGTATCTCTGTATCAAGAATCCCAGTTATGTGCTCTTTTGAATAATAATAATAATAATAATAATTAATTATGTATTACTACTCCCTCAGCTAAGGACTTTCTTATACTATCACATTGAATCTTAGGTAACAATGTTATTGTGTGGTTGACATTAGCTTCATTTCACTACTGAAGCAAAGAGGCTCAATGCATTAAGTGGTTGTATATGTTTTTGAACTCTGACCACAAGCATGAGCTCATAACCACTTTCTTCTACAGTAGTTTCCTACTTGTTTTGATTAATTCATTTAAAGTTCTCTCCACCTTCCTTATCAACAGGTTGATATGCAACTTACTTTCAGTTTCTTCCTTAGTAACTTAGAAGACAGTGTCTGTTACATAACTCCTCAGCATTTACGCATTTTACAAATGATGAAATCCAAGTGGACATCAAAATTAAGAAAAGTTGCTCGCTCTTACTCTCAGTAGTCATCAGAGAAATGCAACTTTAACCCAAAATGTGACATTATTGCCTAATTGGCAATATTAAAAATTATGACAATACCAAGTATTGCCAAGAATAAAGAACAATAAGAACTTTTAATGCTACCGGGAAAAAAATAGATAAATATTTATTTTAAAAAGTTGAGCATTATCACATTATTTAATAAAATTCAAGGTATTCTTTAACCTTGCAGTTTCATTTTTAGCAATATATCCTACACTTTTGTGCATGCATAGCAGAATCTATGTACAAGAATGAACATAACTTTTTGGTCTAGCAAAAACTGGTAACAACTCAAAAGTAGTAAAAATGGACAAATAATTAAATATTATACAGTGATGAAATGATATACAAATACAGCATATGCAACACCATGGATGAATCTTAAAAATATAACAAAGTTGGGGTGCCTGACTGGCCCTGTCGGTAGAGTATGTAACTCTTGACCTCAGGTCATGAGTTCAAGCCCTACATTGGATGTAGAGATAACTTAAAAATAAATTTTTAAAAAATATATATGTAAAACAGAGTTATGCAAATGTGTCCACTAGACAAAATGTAAACAAAACTAATCTTACTGTTCAAGAATGCTCACTTAGATGTTAACTCTAAGAAAAAGCATGGAAATAATTACCATAAAAAGATAATGATTGCCTTTAGTAGGGATTATAGAGTTTATATTTAGGAAGGATACACCAAGGGTTTCTGAATTCTTGAGGATGTCCTGCACTGTGACATTCACTTTGTAACAATTTATTACTACATTTTACCCTTATGTGCTGTGCACTTTTCTGTATAGATAGTATTTAATTTAAAAACATTTAAATGTATCATTTTCTATCACTGTTTGCTATCTACACACATAAATGAAATAAAGGTCTCATCAAAGAATATGTACTTTTACAATACTTCTAATATTTTCCATTTTACTCTATTTTATTAGAAAAATATATCAAGTGGACCGTTACCCTCTACATTGCTTTCATGACACAATGATACATTACCTGTATCCATTACCACCTGGGACTGGTTAACTGAGTTGGTTAGACCAATATCCTGTGTGACCTGAGCTATAGATTATAGTCAATGCTCAAGCCAACTGTCACTCTTTTTTTTTTTTTTTTTTTTTTTTTGACCAAAAGTGTGCTGGACAAGAGAGGGTATCATTGTTACAGAAACTGTGCCTAAAGCCTACTGAGTAGGATGAATCTATACACTAATTTTCAAGAAGGAATGATCCAACAGATGAACCCATATCCACACATGCAATAATAACTCTAGCCTATGAAGAGAAATGTGTAATAGAAATCAAACCTTTGCACTCAGTTATTACTACTGGCCAGGCACTGGTTTTTTTAAGCCCTTTTCATATATTAATATATTTAATATTTTCAACTACCCTGTGAGGTTAAGATTCTATTATTTCCATTTTACAGATGAAAAAACTGAATTAGAGAGAATAAATCTTAAAGGTTTGAACACAAAATAGTGTGACTCAAACATCTCTTTTGCAGGAAGAGGAAATCCTCACTCTGCATGCCCTACTGGGACACTTTGGGGAAAGTGCATTCATAATCTAGAAACTTACTGGGTGAAATTAATTTTAATTACCTAGACTTTTCTATGAGTTGTTTTACTTTGTCAAATCAGTGAGCAGTCTCGTAGGACTCTTCAATAAGCATGTTAGATTTGGTGTTTCTTAAAATCTCTTTAATGTTTGACCTTTTTTTTCATTCCCAGCAATTGAGACATGCTTTGAGAATTGAAAATTTGCTGATGTCCCTTTTATAAAACAAGTAGTGGTTCTAATAGTTATCATTCCTTAATATTTTGTAGGTAGAATTACAACCCAAGTATGAAGACAATCTGTACATGTACCTTTATTTTGTCATCTTTATTATTTTTGGTTCGTTCTTTACCCTGAATCTTTTCATTGGTGTCATCATAGATAACTTCAACCAACAGAAAAAGAAGATAAGTATACTAAAACTTCCTCTTTATTCTAAAATGTGAACTGAACCTGTCACACTAGTTCTTTTAGGGTCTAAAATGTAATCAGCAAAGGGGCGCCTGGGTGGCGCAGTCGGTTGAGCGTCCGACTTCAGCCAGGTCACGATCTCGCGGTCCGTGAGTTCGAGCCCCGCGTCAGGCTCTGGGCTGATGGCTCAGAGCCTGGAGCCTGTTTCCGGTTCTGTGTCTTCCTCTCTCTCTGCCTCTCCCCCGTTCATGCTCTGTCTCTCTCTGTCCCAAAAATAAATAAACGTTGAAAAAAAAATTTTTTAATAAAAAAATAAAAAAAAAAATGTAATCAGCAAAAAAGAAGAAATATAAAATTCTGAAATTATCTTGAGATATTTAATCAATTGTGAGTTTTTAAGTAATTGCTAATTCAGATAGCATGTATTGATATTTTCAGTATAGAAATATGACTGATTAATACAGAATACTTTAAAGATTGAATATATGCATCTCTGTAAATGCGGATATTGGCAACATTAGAATAGCAAGTGGAAGCGATTTCACACAATTTCTGAGGTAGATTTTATAACTAGCAAAGAACATGATTTTAACAAATTTTGCTTTCATTTCTTTACTTTGGAGGTCAAGACATTTTTATGACAGAAGAGCAGAAGAAATACTACAATGCAATGAAAAAACTGGGTTCAAAGAAACCACAAAAACCCATCCCTCGGCCTGCTGTAAGAATAACATACTTTCATTCCCAGCAAGATCTATGTTATTTACAACTTACACAGCCCAAATTGCTAGATACTAGTACTTTTGTGAATTTACAAAACAAAATTTCTATCTTAGCAATGTGACTAGCAGCTAGCCTAAATAGCCTAAGTATATGTGTAATAGTCTAAGTGTATATATATTATATATAATATAACGCACAAATTACGTATTATATATAAACATATAAAATGTATGTAAATAAAAAGTTTCAGACTTACATGCCAATAGTATTACATAGAATTGATGTCACTGAGGACTGTCTAATAATGTAGAGAAGAAAACATATCCATACATACACTGTGTGGAAATACTGAGTGTTCACAGAGTGTGGTGGGGATGAATTGGAATAATCGGTACATCTCAGATTTGCCACATTTTCTGTCCAACTCTGCAGATTGATTGGAATCATTATGAAACAAGTCGCAGGTTTTGTTTTTCCTGGTTTTAAAAATATTTCATATTTCCCCTACCATCTTGCTTCTAAATCTGATGACATCATTCTGAATTTTTATGGCTCTTCCAATTGTATATTATATGCCAGTAGCTGCTTGGTTGCTACAGGGAATTACTGTCTGGAAGAAAAGAGCCCTTTAACAGAAGGGCAGTGCATGTGTGAAGGCCTTGAAGTAGGAAGGCCAGTGAGGCTGGGATGTAGAGAGTGGGGGCTTATTGGAATGTGTTGAGAAACAAGTTAGGGTACACAGACTTTTCTGAGCTTTGTATGTTATGTTCAAAAGTTGCCTTTATCTTTAGAGCAACTGGAAGAGATTGAAGGGGACCTGGTCATTTTCAGTTTTGTGAAGATAACTCAACCAGTATTGGCAGGGGCAATGTGTATGCTTATTAGATTTGTTTTGGAGCTGACGGATAGATGATGATAGGGTATGATAGGTAGCGATGATAGGTAGCCTGAACCAGAGTCATGTGGAGATGAATTAAAGTGGATGGATTTGTGAGCTGTCACTAGAGTACAATTACAAAGTTTGTCTATTAATTGAATATGGGAAGCAAAGAAGAACCCAACAAAGAGAACTTATGAGTTTCTACCATACACACTGAATGACTAGCGTCATGCAAGGTATGAAGAAGGGACATGCATGGAGAAAAAAAAAAATCAGAGATGCTAGCTTGCAGAATCTGGCAGTCAAAAAAAGACAGGAATAAGAATGAGTATTTAGAAGTAGCAAAATAACGTTTCTTAAGACTGAGAGGTAGGTTTTTGAAACAAAGCAGGAGTTCTGGAGAAGCAGAGTGTGAAGAGAGGGAATATAGAATAAAGTCACATATTTTAGAGGGATGAGAAGTTTGGAACTATCCTGGAGCAAGTGAGGGAGAAAGGATTCCTAATCATCGTCAAGGGCCAAGATGAAGTGAAAGAACGTAAATCTTTGGCAAACAAAGCTGCCAGGGTTACATAGCTTCCCGCAGCATACACTACATCCTGGGATTTAAGTTGGAGACAACAACTAGGGACTGAGGATTGCAGTTATACGTTGAAGTGACCCATTGGAAAACTACATGGGCAGGAAAACTAAGCTTTTTATTGATAAAACCTTCTAATTTTAAGCAATTGTGAACCTCCTACACTGTAGGTGTTAAGTCTATGAGAAAAAATGACACTGCTCCAGAGCCTCCAGACAACTAGGAGAAATAACTAAAACAAATAAATAAGAGCAAACCATATGCAATACAGTGTCATCAATTTTATGACAAATGTAAACGTAGTTTTCTGAGGACACAGAATGCTTAAAACTTAAAACTGAATTCAAAGTCACCAGAGAAGGGGTGAAGGAAGTCTCTTTTAGTACAAGGAGATAAGATAAAATGATACAGTAGAATCTGCAAATTTTATTCAGAGGGATAGGAAATATCAGAAGGGTAGAAATAAGAGAAACATAACCAGACTTGGAAAGGTAAGCTAGAGCAAATAAGAACTAAGAAGGAAGGTTTGGAACTGGAATTAGACACATTTATTAGGTTGAAGAAGGCTTTGGAAGGACAGACTCACCTGAAGCAATAGAAGTCCAGTCCAGTAAGCCAGATACCTATTCAGAGAAAAGAGAAAAATACTACAAACAGGAGGTTGATGTCCAAGAATTTGCATAGGGAGTAATGGATGTCTCTCAACAGAGAGGGAGAACACTAGTACAGAGAATCCAGATGGATAGACATGTCAGAATCTGGGAAAGCTACGAGGTGTATAGGTAACAGATCATCCGTGGTTCTAGTTAAGAAGGTACAGGACAGCTTAGTGGAAGTTAGGTCAAGGCTTGAGCCCCAAAAATCTTGAAATACCAAGCAGAAGTAGGCAAAATGGTATAAAACAGGGTCCAAACAAGTAGAACTGGTAAGGTGAGTTTCATAAACAAGACATAAAGCCATTCAGTGCTTGGAAATAAGGTCCAAACTGAATAGGGCAAAGGTTGAACATCTGATTGTGGATTATAACTTTTATAAGTATTATTTTATTCTTTCAGAAGACTTACCCCATATAATTTCACCCAGATTTTCCTTATTTTAAAATCGGGCATAACCATAGATCAGTAATCAAAGCTAAGAAATTAATTTTGGTACAATACCAATTTAAATAAAATACAGAACTTAGTTACATCTCACCAGGAGTTCTAAATATGTCCTTTTTCTTGAACTATAATTTTTTAAAACATCTTCCCAGCTGAACCTTAAGGTACTCTGGCTTTGGGGAAAGACGATAAAAGCAGAAACTAGAAAAATATAAACATGAGAGAAAAATCTGGAGAGCTGTTTATTAGTACTTCAAAGTTTACTTTGATACCCCGTGCCAATACATGGGATAACAAAGATTTGTTATAGTGGCAAATATTGGCTGGCTGTCCATCATATACATGGTGATGTTATGGTTACTGAGAACACAGTAAGTGGTTCTTAAAGTCAGTTTACAAAATCTGGTATCATGAACAGTATAAGTAAAACAAATATACTTGGAAAAAGTTGTATATTCCAGTATACAAAATGTTCTTCCAAGTATTAAATAAGCATGGTATGTTTTTATAAAAGCTACATTTTCATATTGCTATGTTAAAACCAGATATGTTGAATTTGATTTTTTTTTTTATGTTCCTAAGTGAAATTTACATACTCTTTGTTCCAGAACAAATTCCAAGGAATGGTCTTTGATTTTGTAACCAAACAAGTCTTTGATATCAGCATCATGATTCTCATCTGCCTCAACATGGTCACCATGATGGTGGAAACTGATGACCAGAGTCAGGAAATGACAAACATTCTGTACTGGATTAATCTGGTGTTTATTGTTTTGTTCACTGGAGAGTGTGTGCTGAAACTAATCTCTCTTCGTTACTACTATTTCACCATCGGATGGAATATTTTTGATTTTGTGGTGGTCATTCTCTCTATCGTAGGTAAGAAGAGGTACTTTTACTCAATTAAGGAAGTTAGTAGTAAAAATTTGTTTTAAAATTTTGAAAATGTTTCTCACTAATCTTTCTCATTTATCCCCCCAAAATCTTAAATAAAAGTCTAACGTCCATTCTTCAGTTTGTCATTTCTCTTGTTGCATGCTGTGCATGAACTGACATGTAAAAAAAAGATTTTATATTTTGCAGCTTTCATTTATCATCTTGTCTCATTTCACAAGATGATAACAGGAACTTGGCATAACAATCCTGTACTCAATCACACTCCGTTGATATAGACAAGTATTGCTTTGAATAAATAATTCACACACACATACACACAAAAATTATTAGAAGTAGTCAAATAATCCATAGATAGGATATTGATAATTGGAATAGTTTGTATGTGTGTTTATATATATTCACGTATATATAAGCTTCATCTTACCTCTGGGTTCAGATATTTTCTATGCTTTGTAATATTCTTTTTCCAGAAGTAGACATTTTGTTCAAAAATCCAAAACAGCTTCATTGTCATCAATACACATTGAGTAGTGAAGTATAGGGCATTAAATGAGGTGCTGGCAGTAAATATAAGAGATTTAAGACAAGGTCCTGCCTCTTAGAGAAAAGAAAACATACATAGAGAGAAAAATTAGTATTCCACCATTTACACTGCTTTCTCTGACTGACTAGAACACCAAAACAATTCTCCATCCTGTGTGATCATCACAACAGTGCCGTGAGATGGTCATTTAGCGATTAAGGGACAAGACTCAGGGATCATGCAGACCTGGCCTGGAGCTCGCCTATTTCCACTAATTACTGGCTCTGTGACCTACAACAAGTTACCTCTCCAATCCCTGACTTTCCAGAAAATATTTCAAATGTTATTGGGAGAATTAAATGAGATGATATAAATTGATGCATTTAGTATCATGCCTAAAACAAAGAAGAGCCCCAGTAAGTGCTAAGTTTAACAATAACAACAACAAAAGTAGATAGAGACTATCACCATCTAGTCATGTGTAAAAAAAAAAAAAGAGAGACAGACAGACAGAGACAGAGAGAGAGAGAGGATTCAGTGCAAAGTTATGTCTGCTGCAAAGTCTGGATTCTCTCCTGTCCATCATTCTGCCACCTTCCAAATAAAATGGATCACAGCCATCTCAGGATAGTATCTCTCATATTCCTGATCCAAAATCACAAGCCTTGTCCATTAGTTCTTATGCCAATACCAGAACCAGAATTTTAGACCTATAAATCCACTTCTTTGTTTGGTTGCCATATGCTCTGTAACATCTTTAGGTCTTCAGTGGTTGAATCTTTCTTTTGATAGATGCTTCTCTTGAACTAGGAAAAATGACCATTGATACCTTCAGAATCAATACCTTGTATGAGTGCCTTCAGAGGGATTAATGTTATAACACCAAACTTACCAGTTTCATTTTGCTAAATAATGCAGATTGTGCGTGTGTCTATATATGTGTGTGCGTGTGTATGTATATATCTAATTCTCATGCCCACATTTTGTAAAACTAGTGATTATCCAATTCATGTAAGTTTTCATTCACTGCTATTAAATATAACACTATTTTTGTTATTGTTTCTTGATTTTCCACAGGCATGTTTCTGGCCGAGCTGATAGAAAAATACTTCGTGTCCCCTACCCTGTTCCGAGTGATCCGTCTCGCCAGGATTGGTCGAATCTTGCGTCTGATCAAAGGGGCGAAGGGGATCCGCACACTGCTCTTTGCTCTGATGATGTCCCTTCCCGCCTTGTTTAACATCGGCCTCCTGCTCTTCCTGGTCATGTTCATCTACGCCATCTTTGGAATGTCCAACTTTGCGTATGTTAAGAGGGAAGTTGGAATTGATGACATGTTCAACTTTGAGACCTTCGGCAACAGCATGATCTGCCTGTTCCAAATTACCACCTCTGCTGGTTGGGATGGATTGCTAGCACCCATTCTTAATAGTGGACCTCCAGATTGTGACCCTGAAAAAGATCACCCTGGAAGCTCTGTTAAGGGAGACTGCGGGAACCCATCTGTGGGGATTTTCTTTTTTGTCAGTTACATCATCATATCGTTTCTAGTTGTGGTGAACATGTACATCGCTGTCATCCTGGAGAACTTCAGTGTCGCTACTGAGGAAAGTGCAGAGCCCCTGAGTGAGGATGACTTTGAGATGTTCTATGAGGTTTGGGAGAAGTTCGATCCTGATGCCACCCAGTTTATAGAGTTCTCCAAGCTCTCTGATTTTGCAGCTGCCCTAGATCCTCCTCTCCTCATAGCAAAACCAAACAAAGTCCAGCTCATTGCCATGGATCTGCCCATGGTCAGTGGCGACCGGATCCACTGCCTCGACATTTTATTTGCCTTCACAAAGCGTGTTTTGGGTGAGAGTGGAGAGATGGATGCCCTTCGAATACAGATGGAGGAGCGGTTCATGGCATCGAACCCCTCCAAAGTCTCCTACGAACCCATCACGACCACTCTGAAACGCAAGCAAGAGGAGGTGTCTGCTGTCGTTATCCAGAGGGCTTATAGACGCTACCTCTTGAAGCAAAAAGTGAAAAAGGTTTCATGTATCTATAAGAAAGACAAAGGCAAAGAAGGCGAAGGAACACCTATCAAAGACGATATCCTCATTGATAAACTAAATGAGAATTCGACTCCAGAGAAAACCGACGTGACACCCTCCACCACTTCTCCACCCTCGTATGACAGTGTCACCAAACCGGAAAAAGAAAAATTTGAAAAAGACAAATCAGAAAAGGAAGACAAAGGGAAAGATATCAGGGAAAGTAAAAAGTAAAAGGAACAAAGAATATTTCATTTTGTGATCAATTGTTTACAGCCTGTGATGGTGATGGATTAGTGTCAACAGGACTCCCACAGGAGGTCTATGCCAAACTGACTGTTTTTACAAATGTATACTTAAGGTCAGTGCCTATAACAAGACAGAGACCTCTGGTCAGCAAACTGGGACTCAATAAACCAGAAAAACAGCATCGACAGGAGGTTTCTGTTTTCACAACCAGCTGACACTGCTGATGAGCAGAGATGTAATGGCTACTCAGACTATAGGAACCACTTTAAAGGGGGGGAGGGAAGTTAAATTTTTATGTAAATTCAACACGTGACACTTGATGATAGTAATTGTCACCACTGTTTATGATTTAACTGCCACACCTGCCATATTTTTACAAAATGTATGCTGTGAACTTATCACCTGTTTTTTTTTTTTTAATTCACAGGTTGTTTACTATTATATGTGACTATTTTTGTAAATGGGTTTATGTTTGGGGAGAGGGATTAAAGGTAGGGAATTCTACGTTTCTCTAGTACAACTGGATATATTTTAAATGAAGGCATGCTGCATTTCTCATTCACACGTGAAAAAAAATCACATCACAAAAAGAAAGAGTTTACTTCTTGTTTCAGGATGTTTTTAGATTTTTGAGGTGCTTAAATAGCTATTCATGTTTTTAAGGTATCTCATCCAGAAAAATTTTAATGTGCCTGTAAATGTTCCATAGAATTCACAAGCATTGAAGAATTGTTTTATTTTTACATAATCCATTATATGTACATGTATATATGTATATATGTATATGTGTGTGTATATACATATATATGTATACACACAGACACACACACCCCATCACATGATCATTCACAGTCCCGGCAGCATGACTATAACATTTTTGATAAGTGTCCTTTGGCATAAACTAAAACTATCCTATCAATCCTTTTAAGAACCTGAATTGACCAAAAAGCATCCCCCACCACTTTATAAAGTTGATTCTGCTTTTTCCTGCAGTATTGTTTAGCCATCTTCTGCTCTTGGTAAGGTTGACATAGCATATGTCAATTAACAAAAAATAAAAGTCTGCTTTGTAAATAGTAATTTTACCCAGTGGTGCATGTTTGAGCAAACACAAATGATGACTTAAGCACAGTATTTATTGCATCAAATATGTACCACAGTAAGTATAGTTTGCAAGCTTTCAACAGGTAATATGATGTAATTGGTTCTATTATAGTTTGAAGCCGTCACTGCTGCATGTTTATCTTGCCTATGCTGCTGTATCTTACTCCTTCCACTGTTCAGAAGTCTAATATGGGAAGCCATACGTCAGTGGGAAAGTGAAGCAAATTGTTCGACCAAGACCTCATTCTCGTGTCATTAAGCAATAGGTTGCAGCAAACAAGGAAGAGCTTCTTGCTTTTTATTCTTCCGATCTTAATTGAACACTCTGTGGTAAAAAAAATAAAATAAAAAATAATTTAAAAAAAGCCCGACCGTACGAACGTATTGCAAGCTGCTTCAATCTGTTGAACCTGTATGGTTAGAGTTTTCTAAGAAAATATAAATACTGTAAAAAGTTCATTTTATTTTATTTTTCAGCCTTTTGTACATAAAATGAGAAATTAAAAGTATCTTCAGGTTGATGTCACAGTCACTATTGTTAGTTTCTGTTCTTAGCACTTTTAAATTACAGCACTTCACACACTAAGACACAAAGACTAAGATGCAGTGTAGGTTTCTGCTTTTTTATTAGTACTGTAAACTTTGCACACATTTCGACGTGAAACACATCTCAGACTGAGTCCAGCGTTTATTTGCTTTCAAATAGTAATGCCTTATCATCGAAAGAGGCTTAAGGAAAGATCAGTTGATATTCTTGGCATTGCTTGAATCAGATATTTCCACCTAGTCTTTTTATTCAGAAAATAATGTCTTTTCCAGTGTTTGTTTACCCAGATAGATTTTACTCTTATTGGCCCGTATGGCATTAGAACTGTATCAGATATGATATGGGTCCCAAGTTGTTGTTTGTTTCTTTTTCCTCACAAAGCCAGGTAGTGAAATTATATTACCAGCTGCAGCAAAACATTTTGTTTTTCTTTCACAGGCAACATTAAGTGTAGATTCTTTATACTAAAGCTATTGACTTGTAGTGTGTTGGTGATATGCATGCAGGAAAATGCTACTACCATAAAGAACGGTAAACCACATTACAATCAAGCCAGAAGAATAAAGGTTTTGCTTTTGTTTTGTATTTAATTGTTCTGTCTTTGTTTCTATCTTTGAAATGCCATTTAAAGCTAAATTTCTATTATGTAAAAATGATCTATCAGAAAAAAATATAAATGTAAAGAATACACATTAAATATAATAATTCATCTTTAAATTTTTTCATGGAATGGAAATCAATTAAGAAGAGTGTATTGGATATCTAGTTTTAATATTGGCCAAAATCTAGATATGGTATTGGGTAGAGTAATGGAAAGTTACAAAAATTAATAAAAAAATTGACTAACATTTTAAATTGTGCATCCTTTCTCCTTCCCGTCTACCTACTGTTTTGTTCCTCTTTTCACTCTAGTTTCTTCCCTTTGTATTCTTGATCTAGTTTTCTATATGCTTTTTCATCCTTCCTTGGGCTCTTGGTGTTTTTCATTCAGGATATTTTTCTTGTTTCTTTTCTGTTCACCCAATCTCTTGTTAATTACATTCTGTAGACAATGGCTCTGTGCGATTAAACCCCTAATAATTTGCTGTCACTATAAAAAATCCATAGACTATCATCATGTTCGTTTCTACAATTCCCTTGACAAAACTTCTAAGTGAGCTTAGATCTCAACTCGTCATAATATAGTAACTAAATTCCCAAATGACACAGATTTGGTTTTTCTACTAATTATGAGCACTTTGAGAAATGTTTCTCAATTCTTATTGCATATTAGAATTACCTGAGACACTTTTTTAAAACTGTCAATGGATGGACCAAGACCAGACCAATTGAACTCCTATCTCTGGGGATGAGACTTAAGCATCTAATATTTTTAAGGCTTGCCATTGATGCTGATTCATGCTAAGAGTTAAAAGCCAATGAGTCAGTGTCTCTTTGCCCAATAGGAAAAAACATTCTACAGAAAATGAACATTTCCTGTTTCAGAATTTCATTACATAATTCATCATGTATAAAGTAAGGCTTCCAATACGGAGGCTTTGGGATTATTCATCTTTTAGTACAAAAAATAGACATTGACCTATTTATTTCAGGGGTTCTCTTCTAAGACTGTAGTTAGTGAAAGGGAATCCTGTCACTAACTTTTCAATTTATACACACTTTTCAAATTATACACACACACATACACACACATGCACACAACATGGCACCCCAAATTATTCCTAATGCATACTGAGTGAGATGAATATGCAGGTGGTTTAGGAAATAGTATGGATTCATAAAATACCCATCCAGGTGAACCCTACATGCCCTGTTGGGTAAGAACCATTAATCTGGACCAATGGGAGATAGCCCACGTAAGACATACATTCAATTTGTGATTATCAAGTCACAAATCTAAACAGGAAAGACTTCTCTACTTTTCTATTTTGGGGCACCTCTCATAATCATATGTTCTTCTGAGTTCTGTATAACACAGATCGATTTACAAAGAGAAGAGGGGAGAGAATAAGAGAGGGGATGTAAAGGCTGAGGAGAAGGAAAGAGAGAGAACAACTGGGGAAAGTAAAGGAAGGTAGAGGAGTTTAAAAATGGGAAGGGATGCGTTATAAATTATCCTCTGAAAAAGGTCTTGCTGTTAATAACTACAGCAATAGTGAAAGAAAGGGGAAGAAACAGGCGTGCAGGAAAAAAATTTTGCTTAGTTGTCAATAAGCAATGTAAACATGCTTCTCCTTCCTTTTTTTTTTAAATACCTATAAAAAAGGTGAAGAGGGTATTATGCAAGTAAATGCTACAATAATCATATTGATAGTGTTTTTTTTTCTGTCATCAGAACTAAATAAATGTTTGTCTACTGCATATTAACTTTGCGATAGGAGCTGAGAGATCAAAGATGAAATTAACTGTCGAAAAGAAGGTTATAGCCAGAGGTGAAGAACCTTGAATGTCACGCTAAAGAGTCTGGGATTTATTCTGTTGGCAATGAGGATTGATTGATCGCTCCTGAGCAGTAGAATGGCAGTGAAATTAGATATTTCTGTCCCTATTTAATGTGATAATAAGAAGACTACACTGCCCCTATTTTGCAATATTTCACAGAGATCTCATTTTCCCATCTCTTTATTTTTAAAGATGTTTGTGTTTTTATCTTTTAATATATATTTTTAAAAGAATGTGCATAGTTTAAAAAACAATCCAATATTTTTTGTTAATAGCATATCAACCTACTTATATTTATTTTATACACAGATACATTTGATTTCAATTACCTTATTCTGTGCTTTTTATTTGTCAAGTTTCTCTTTTTTCTTCCTTCTCTTCTTGTCCTCCTGTGCATTAATTTTGTTGTTTATTCTCTTTCCCACATCTGTACTGGTTCCAAAGATACAAATCTTGTCCCTCTCCCCCTCCCTTTCTCCCTTCCTCCTTTCCTCCCTTCCTTCCTTTTCTCTTGCTTTTTTTTTTTTTAAGTGATTGATCTTAAATTTTAACATGCATACTTAGCTAGTGAAATATAACAAACAGTTGTACTCTTATCTGGAACAATGAAGTTCCTTAGAACGTTTACATAGTATTGCCCACTTCGCATGTGATTTTTGTCTACTATTTTAATTCTTTGTCTGACACCCAGCAAATTAAACAATATTATTATTATAAATTTGTATAGTCAGTGCTTAGACTTTATATGTTAATTAATCCTTCCTAAAATATGTTTTTTCTATTCCATTTTGTGTTCTATTTCCTTCTTGAAATATATGAGGAATTCTATGAGTGAGGTCTGTGAGTAGCAAACTGACTCCATTTTTCTTTTTCTTAAAATGGCCTAATTTCA